ATTCGCTTTTAGCCGCCAGTATGGTTCAATTTTGTCAAAATAATCTAAGAAACATTGATGATGAATTATTCACTTGCAAGTGAAAAATTCGACCTCATTGAATCTGTATTCATGTGAATTCCAATTTAACCCGATAGCTAGAGATGGATAACACGTGAATTGTATGTGTAAAGTTATTTAAAGAAAAAGAATGTCAACATTGAAAGTGAAACAAAGGTAAATCATTTGATTGACTGATCCGATCCACAAAAAATCATTCTTATACAGGTAAAAACGATGATAAACATATATTTTTAATCTATAATATGAAATTAAACATACCTGGAAAAATTCAATTGCACGAGTTCGCTTAATCTACTTATATCTTTATTTATGTTTACATCGCTTATATGGTCATCGGATGACTTTGGAGGTCAACTCGATAGTTAATTAAATGGCGTCTAGACTAAAATACACACGAAACGAAGCTACGTGTTATCATGCCCATGTCCTGTTAACTGTTTATTTTAGACTTTTGATAGTTTGGATAAATGTTTTACATTGTTATAAATCAAATATGAGAATTTGAGTCAAATCGGTGAACATGAATTTGACAGCTAGTTCCCCTTTAACCCTTCTTTGTACTAGACCGACACGCTGAGCCGGATTCTTAACTTGGTAGTTCACAAAGTTACATTCCGCAGGAAGACATGTCACTCTACCAGGAGACATTATTCTGACTACCAGCCGTCCAGTCTTTGTTCTTACTTCTTAATGTCATACTAATTGAAGAAGCAGTAAATACCAATTTTAAAGTTTGGTATGACCCAGGCGGGGTTCGAACCAACGACCTTCTGCACTGGAGGCACCACCGAGGCGGTCCTTGAACCATGAATTAAATCAAATACAGAAAAATAAAGAAAAGTACTGCTGATAGGACATACTCATAATTAGTTTAATTTAGCTCTTAAAAGCACCAAACTAGACACTTACCTGAGGTTATCACTTTTTTGAATTGCATGTAGGTGACACTTTTAATCCTGAATCCGATTTTCAAAACATGAGGGATTTTTTAAGGTAGGCTATTGTCAATTACAATTCTGAACCACAATCTGAAGATATTTTCATCAGATGATATTAAAAATTTGAAAAGGTTTCCGAGGAACCTGTCTCTTGCCAGTGATTGCTGCTGTTGGTAAAAGAGTAAAATACTTGGACTGCAACAAAACTAAGTCTCATTCATCTGCAAACATGGTGTAACACATTTTAAAATTTGAAATATTTCATCAGATGCTTTTTGTCGAAAAAGCGAGACATAGCGATCCTACATTCCGTCGGCGGCGTCGTCGTCGTCGTTGTTGTCGTCGTCGGCGGCGTCCACAAATATTCACTCTGTGGTTAAAGTTTTTGAAATTTAAATAACTTTCTTAAACTATCCTGGATTTCTACCAAACTTGGACAGAAGCTTGTTTATGATCATAAGATAATATTCAAAAGTAAATTTTGTAAAAAAAAATTCCATTTTTTCCGTATTTTACTTATAAACGGACTTAGTTTTTCTGCCAGGAAACATTACATTCACTCTGTGGTTAAAGTTTTTGAAATTTTAATAACTTTCTTAAACTATCCTGGATTTCTACCAAACTTGGACAGAAGCTTGTTTATGATCATAAGATAATATTCAAAAGTAAATTTTGTAAAAAAAATTTCCATTTTTACCGTATTTTACTTATAAATGGACTTAGTTTTTCTGCCAGTTATCATTACATTGACTCTGTGGTTATAGTTTTTAAGATTTTAATAACTTTCTTAAACTATCCTGGATTTGTACCAAACTTGGACAGAAGCTTGTTTATGATTAAAAGCTAGTATCTAGAAGGAAATTTTGTTAAAATTTTGTTCCTTTTTTTCTGTATTTTACTTATAAATGGACTTAGTTTTTCTTCCAGTTAACATTACATACAGTCTAGATCTGCAGTTTAAGTTTTTAAAACATTTATTAGATTCATAAACTATCCTGGATTTTTACCAAACTTGGACAGAAGCTACTTACAATCAAAAGATAGTAAATAGAGGAATATTTTTTTTAATTTTTTTCCTCATTTTTGTTGAGCCTGCGATTAACAGCAAAAGTAGGCGAGACACTGGGTTCCGCGGAACCCTTACGAATTTTTCTTGGCATTATAGAAGCTTCTTTCCAAGTTTCATTATTCCTTAATCATAAAAAACAAGTTTTTGATAAATTTCAGTAAAATCTAAGACAAAGTATTGATTTAACCCTAGACTATATCTAAATAGTAACCATGGTAACTGCAAAAAAGCATGAATGTTAAAAATGAAAGAAAAAAATTGTTTTCACAATTTTTCTTCAGATATTATCTATTAAACATGAAGATTAATAAAATTCTATGAAGGGTTGACAAAGTTATTGATATCTAAAAAACTTTAACCCCAAAGTCAGACTGTATTTTAATGTTACCTGCAAAATGAAGTCAATTTATCAGCAAAATGCGTAAAAAATAAAAAATAAAAGTTTTAAAATTGTGTTCTGTATACGGTCTTTTGATAATAAACAAAGCTTCAGTCTAAGTTTCGTATAATCCCATGAAAGTTTGACAAAGTTATTGATTTCTAAAAAAAAAAAACTACAGACTGAACCCAAATGTTGACAGCACCACAGCGATGTCTCATTTCAGTGTCAAAATATCACATGCTCGACAAAATCAAATATTCATTATTCCTGCATAATTCATCTCAGAACGACCTTATATTTGTAGAACATGAAATTTGACAAAATGTAAGCTTCAATGTCAAATGAAAAATTTGCTTTATGTATGAATGTACCAGTAAAGTTTCTTGTAAGCTTCAGCTGTGGACAATATATTATTTCCCAAGTATTAGCCTTATGAAGATTGAAAACATTTTGCCTTGTAGAATCCAAGACTTAACAACAACATTTACCAATCGGAATACATGTATAGTGTTCCCATTTGGAGACACATATTTCATCTGATTGCAATAACACATATTTCATCTGATTGCAATAACACATATTTCATCTGATTGCAATAAAACAGATTTGGTTATTGTTTCAAGGAAGATACACAATTAATATAATGTTTAAATTTGAAAAGCATTTATTTTGGTTGAACATTCATAAGTTATTGCACAGAGACGACATTAATACCATTTTTCAAACAATCAAGGACCTTACAATTTTAAAGGCAAATGTCAAAATCGTCATTATCAAAGCTTACCTCTATTTTTACAATCAGTAAAACACACATTTAGATTTTAAAAGTATTGGTTGAACAGTTTATTAATTATTACAAGGAACAGCTGGAGCCACACCCCCACTCCCCGTCACCTGCCATAAAACCCCAAATCAATGAGCGGATTATTATCGGCGAAAAGGGTTATGATATAAAATAACAATCAGTGAACAACAGTTTTACCTTTATAGAAGCCTGGTCTATGTATGATTATCACTAAAAGACGTTTTATTGAGATTTTTTTCTTAGGCCTGACATGAATTCATAGTAAAAAGAAAGAGGACAAATGAGACAAAGAGATGAAAATGAACTTCACTCGTACCAAATTTTCTAACATAACACAATATTCATGCAAAAGAAACTCATGTAATGTTTTAACTTAATTACTATATATAATTTTTGATTGATTTTTGTTTGCTTAATGTGAAGTGGAAAATTTCCAATGCATATTCACGAAAAGATTAAGGATACTTAAAAATGTGTGATCATCTTTTGTATACTGTGGATTCAATATTATTCGTGGGATGGCAATTTAAAAAAAAAATGAATACAACACTTTTGAGTAGCATGCGTTCGAAGCGCTTTTCTGGATTTACCCTCAACAGGTGCGCTAAAAGCCGAATATTTGAAAGCAAGGACGTATAAGAACCGAAACAGTTAAAAAGCCATATGATAGAAAATGACCTAAACATATAGTCAAATCCATCTAAGGTCAACTTAGCCTGTTGCAAGCTCTTCAGCAAAATGTCCAATGAAATACAAAATTTCTACAGGCTATATGCAGACGTATGTATTCGAATCAAATATCCACAAATTCAAGTGTTCCTTAATTGACAAATATAAATGAATCCACAACCATAGCTTCCAGATGATTATATATGTCATTTGGATCTACTTTTATCCACCACTTTAGATTAAGTTTATACCAAAGTTCTTGGGTACTGGAATTTATTTGATTAAATGTTGGTGTTTTAACCACTTTCAGCACCTGAGCTCTATGACGGCGCTCAGTTTTTATTGGCAAAGGAAGCAGGAGAGAATCACAACCTTCAGCAGGAAACTAGCAATCATAGCCAAATAAGATTGGAGTCGCACGCATCTTACCATGAGCATGGTTCAAATTCATGACCTCAGTGGTGATAGGTAGTGACCACTGTAGTTAAACTATAGGCCCTGCAATTTGAAGGACTGTAAACTTTATGACATTGCGCTGTAGCATCTAGAAAACAGTAAATCAGTTTAAAAAAACTTTTCATTGTTTAAACATTCGAATTTAAATTTCCATAAAAAAATTCTGTCTTCTGTCACCTGCACAATGAAGTATATATAATTAGGATGGTGTAAGTTTGAAAATATGTCAGAATCCATTCAAAATCTTTCCTCCTGGTTTAATGTTATCAATTTTAATAACAATGTTTTGTACATTAGATGAAATCCAAAGTATCTTTATCATTGTATTGAATTTCGGTGGACAATATGACATTTTCACAATTCTACTGAATACTATTTTAATTGCATATTCATGATTTTTCACTCATATTTTCCCTATGCAAAAATTAATGCATGAATACATTTTTGTGTTTCAATTGTGAATGTAACATCAGAAGTTTACTTGATGTACAACAGTTTTCTAACATTTTCCTGTGAAAATGTATGATCTATACGAAGAGCCATTCAACATTTTTTATATTCAAAACATTTTACAGAGCATCCCGACCTGCAAAATATTTATACAAACAAGAAATCAACTAGATAACAAATATTTATTTAAATAAAATATCACATTTTAATCTTCTTGTATATGCACTGTAAATAAAATGCAAAATCGGAATGTTTAGTGTAAACAATATTTTATTGTGAATTATACAAATTACAATATGAATTAACATTCACAAATACGATTCAAAAACAAGCAACAAGTGCTTATATTAATCCGTCTCCTTGGAACGTTTAAAAAAAGGAAGAAAAAATATATCAAAAACTATCACAGAAGTAAAACATATTCTATACAAAATAAATGATACTAAATATTTAACATTAATTATTGTTTAAAACTATGTAAAGGTACATATGTACAAATATCACTGAACAGTTTGTAATATACAATAATGAAACAGTCATTTATACAAAGTCCTCAGAAATTGTCCTGATTATGTTAACTACCATTTATTCCATGTTTGACTAGAGTACCGATTCTTTGATTGTAAATAAACTAGAGGTTTATTTATAATTTGTTGTAATGTTGTACAAATGTTTGAGTGTCTGTTGTACAAATGTTTGAGTGTCTGTTGTACAAATGTTTGAGTGTCTGTTGTTAATACTGTACGTATTTCTTCTTTGGACAGTTGATGTGTTTTTTGTAATAATGAAAAGTATATAACGCATGAGTAAACATCCAGGAAAACAATTACCTCCTTGTTACATTAAAAACCTGCCTGAGTAACTCTCTGTCCTTAATTTCAACTTGCCGAAATGTGTACCCAATGAACAAAATTGAATTAGTATTTGAATGAATTTGTATGAAATTTGACACTTTATCCCCAGAAATTCTTGGGGGATGAGTGAAATTTTTGAAACAACCAGTAATAAAATTTCATAAATGTCCAGACATGATGGACTTCCCTGAGATGATGAGGTTATTTATCTGATCACTGCCTAAACCAGCAGCCTATGTGCGTACTGAAAAGTAGCAAAGTATAGGCCCCTGGCTTGAAATCACACCAATCCAATTTATCTCCTAAATGGTTAATTATTGCACCGCTGTATCTAAGTTCTACTGATATGAATTTGTGTTGGAATGAATTTTAAGCAATTTGTATAACATATACATGATATACATATACAGAAAATTTCAAATTTTTTTTATATAAACTGTGCTGAGATTGATGCCCCTGTCACGGCAATATTGAAGGTATAAGGTTGGGGTTGGTGAGTGGCAAGTTTTTAGCTAAGCCACTTTTTGAGCAACATTATTCTTTTAACTGCTTAATCTAGATCTGCATTGAAAAAGCTGGACACTAAAGGCAGCATGTACTGGTTTTCAATATACAACTTCTTAGTGGGACATTCATAAATAGGAGTTTAAAAAAAGATTATGTGCAAACAAACAAAGGACAAAGGAAAGCCAAATACGACAAGTGGTCAGTAATTAACAAGACTGTATATTTGTAATGGAACTGATGTAATTAAACCCCCTGCTAAAAACATCTGGTGCACTTCACATGTAGCTGATTAAGAAATGATAATACAATTGGCTCTTCTCAATAGTAAAGGGAACAAAACATCCTGGGAAAATCCTAAAATAATGACTACTGAGTGTAATGGAAATTAAACTATGTATAAACATAACTTATATAACACGCAAGTGCCTATCTATAAATGATTCACCATCATTACTTTGAACTGTCAGTCTTGGACTTCCAGATGACACAGTGTCGTTTAAAAACATCTCACATATTTTTTTTTATTCTCGAGTAAATGTGCAGTAGTTACAACAAACATTTACCCCATTAAGGGCATCCCCAAAAACAAAAAAACAATATGGTTATTTTCTCATAAAAATTCCTTATTCAGTTGACAGTATTGACAACATCCAATAAATATTCTGGACCTACCATTGATTTAAAATTTAAAAAAAAAACGTTTATTTGCAAATAATTCTTAGCAGATATTTCTTTTGAAACGAAGGCACTCAGTATAGAAAAATGCTTCAGCAATAATCACTCCAAAGGAGATATGACAATGCAAGTCAAAGAAGACAAAAATGAATGTCATTTGCAAGTTACAAACAACATGTTCAACCAAAGTGGTTACTGAAGTTATACATCTTGAAACCATTAAGGAAATAGTGCAGAATAAACTTGCCATGATTAAGACATTTTCCTGAAATTCCTTTCCATTCATATTGCAATCATGTACCCATACTAGAACATCATGACATGTCATTTAATTTAAGTAATAATAACTTTACTGACGTTTGTGACTGTGGATAGCAGTCAATCAGTACAAATGGACAGAACTTACGAACAGCTTCTTGAAAATATATATTAAGTTTTTTTTTAAATTCTATCTTCTGACAAAGGGAAAAGTCAGACATCACTGATTGAACCAAGGAGATCTTGTACACGTCCGACACGAGCAGCTAATAACGTTGCATCCATTGTTGCCTACAATAAAAAAAAACCACAAGAGTGCACACGCTGAAATGTCTCGCCTGCTTTACTTTACATGATAGAGTTTTATGTTGAAAGTCTGTAATAAAAAGGTTTAACTGAAAGTATCATATAGACTTAAAATTTTCAATGATCCATTTAAATGAGGTCAATGTAAGATGTACACTGCTAGACAGACATGTACACCCTACAATCATTTTATACATTAAATATAGTTGGCCTATGCTAATAGTATACGAAAAACAGACCCAATTACCAAAATTGAACATTGACCAATGAACCATAAACATGAGTTCAATGTCAGATGAACCCTGCCTGACAACATATATACACCATCATACACAAATAATACACTAATATAGTTGATCTATTGCTTATATTACCTGAGATACGGGCTTGACCTCGAAAACGTAACCTTGATCACTGAACCATGAAATGAGGTCGAGGTCAGGTGAACCATGTCTGATGGACACGTAGACCTTGCAAGGATCTCATATACCAAATTAAAGTATCCCTTTACTTATAATAAGTGAGAAATTCACATGACAAAAAAACTAAACATTTTTCAAGCAGTTACTGAACCACGAAAATGAGGTAAAGGACAACGGACATATGACAGACAGAAACTTTGTTACATAAGGCATCTCCATACAAGATATGAAGCATCCATGTCTTCTACATTCTGACATATAAAGCTTTATACAAATAGTCGTTGCCGGATTGTAATCACTATGTCTCGCATTCTGCAACTTTCGTCGCTGGCTAGAGAAAAGCATGTGAGCAAAATAATCTGCTGCCATAAAGCATGCATTTTTAGTTTCTGATGCCAATTGATTATCATACAATGCGATTATGAGGTCTATTTATTGTATTCCATTAGAAACTATATAATAGTCTTAATAAAGGCAAAAGTAGAATACCGCTGTTCAAAAGTCATAAATCGATTGAGAGAAAACAAATCCGGGTTACAAACTAAAACCGAGGGAAAAACATCAACTATAAGAGGAAAACAACGGAACAACAGAAACACTGAAGTGCAACAAAAACAAACGCAAACATACATAGAAACGAACTATTTGATAACAACTTCCATATTCCTGACTTGGTACAGGACATTTTAAGAAAAAAATGGTGGGTTGAACCTGGTTTAATAGCTAGCCAAATATCCCGCTTATATGGCAAATGTTTAAAAATATCGTTAAAATGACAACACTACGTGACAGAAATACAGCACAAACAAACGCAAGAACACCCAGCACAAAGAAACGCACAAATAGATAATATAATAGTCGTTACAACATGTAAACCGCAGAATAACAACGAACATCTTCCATTAACGACAGCACACGACATCACAAACAGTGACGTATTTTTGTAGCGAATATATAATCTTGAAATTCATAGAATTATTTTCACAATAATAGTCCAAACAATTATCAACAAATAAAACAAATATTTAAACAAAACGGAAACTATATATTTTAGAATTTTAAAAATCTGATATAATTAATGGTTTTATCAGAATTGTAAAAAGAAATATCATTCGAATACCATGAAATTCAATTTAGAGTCTGTAGGATATAAATGGTAGTGTGTATAAATGTTAGTCAAGATAAACTGTAAAGTACAGGAAATAGATAAATTTTTTTTGCATTTGCCAGATTTTACATGAGATACAATCTTTTTATAAAAAAAGAAGGAAGCTTCAGTTCAAGTGTTTTGAAATTCTATACAGATATAATGACTTAATTCGAGTTGAATAAACTTCAAGAAGGAGTTTCTGGACAAGTGTAATAAATTCTACACAGGCTATATTTTTTTTATTCCAGCTGTAGAAATCGTTAATTTTAGGCCTAACTATTTGTTATGAATGACAATGCCAACAACCATGGAATTTAAGAGTAAGACTGGTAATACACACAAAAACAAGGAAGAGTATATGATTATCACTACCGAAAACTTGATACAGTATGTTTTCGACAGATGAAAAATAGTTAAGTTAATTATTGATATACATTTTCTGTCAGAATGACACATACTTCATAGAAATATTCATCTAACAGAGTCAATCATTGAAAAATCTGACTTTTGGAATAAAAATAGTTTAACATAGTGAATTGTTTCCCCATTTACAATAGCTGCGGAACTGTTGCTCTTATGGTCCTTATTATATTTTTTGACAATTTGCGCACCATAGAGGGTCCGCAGCTACATTTACTATTACTGTCAAAAAATATAATGAGGCTAAGTATCAAACCAAAATTCATCAATATCAAATTCAGTATCACAAATCAAAGGAAAAACCAGTGGTAAGTGTCATAATTTGTTAAAGGAAGACTTCCTAAAATAAAATTAAGTGTATTAGGAGCTGGACTTCAAGTTTAGAAGTCAAATCATCATCCCAAAAGGGAAAAAATGAAAGCAAAAGTTGAAATTTTCCTTCATTCTTCAGATTTTACTTTAATTTCTTGCTAGAAATTGGATAAAATAATGATACTGACAAGTTTTGGAATAACCATTTTATACTGGCATAAAATATTCTACTGTTGTCAATAAAACCGAGACCCTGTGTAAGATTAGCTTTATTCAATTGTTCAAATTTTAATATGCTTTCAAATTTTTAAAAGACCTCTTGTAATATCCTGCATATATTATTTGAAACAAAAAATTATATGTTCAATATTTTTTAAGATAGATTATACAAAGAATCCAGCTTACGGAGGTCAAATAAGAGATAACGGTAGTTAATTGATGTTCAAATCTCTAAAATCCAATGATATAAAAACTTAGGGCATTTCATGAACTCCTAATGGAATAAGACTGGGTGCCTCTATAGGATAAATATCTCTCGTTATGCTAGAATGAAAATCCAGACTCAGTCAAAACGTCATTTCAATAAACTTTACATAATCAGTAAATTTACAGATCAGCCAAACAATAATATATACTGATAAAGTTAGATTCTAATTTGCTGCACTGCTTGTGAGGTCAGTGTTACTCTTCCAATATTTAATTGAAAAACAAATTGGTTCAAATGTCAGGTTCAAATAAGTTTGTATATAGATTTCAATAGATTATTGTTTACGAGTTTAAGTAATATTTTACATCTAATCACTTAATATTTAATTGAAAAGTTTCAAATTAGCAATGTCGGCATAATAAGGGGTAAACGGATGTTTTTACTTTTCTAAATGCACCTTATATATAGCATACCAGTTTTTAGTGTTTTCACCAGTAATCAATGAGAAACTGCCTCGGTGGTCTCATTGAAGCGTGTTCACCTGGCCAGTTCAAACCAAAGACTTTCAATTGGTATTAGCTGCTTCTCCGCTAAGCACACGGCATTAAGGAGTAAGAGCAAAGTCTCGTCGGCTCGGAGTCAGAATATTGTTTCCGCGTAAGGTGACAGGTCTTCCTGCGGACTAGCACGTAAAAAATCCGGCTTAGTGTGTCGGTCTAGTGTTATATGTCAGTTTGGTATGGTCAAGACGTTTGGTTAAGTTAACATACTTTTAAGAGAGTTATCTCTCCTTAACCAGTTATTGGATTATGCGTATTGCGGATTGCAGTCCGTATTTGAATTATATATTAGTTTGACTGTTGATTTATTGTAACGATTACATGTACATGTGTTTGAAAAATAGAAATTTATTAATTTGAACAATAGTAGTTAATTATCTTATTCTATGCCAAAGTAAAGCATACAACTAGTACAAAGCAGAGTAAATATTCATATTGCTTTAACATGTTCTCTTCCTGAATATTCATATCAATTTGCCGCTGGACGTTAAGCAGCCATCATCATCATCATCATCATCATCATCATCGTTAAAGATAAAAAAAAAATCATCATCATCATCATCATCATCATCATGTAATAAATGAGAATTTTTTTAAATCAGTTTTTGCTGTTTACATTTGGAATGTATTAGCTATAAATTAGTGGCATTCACTTTATTTCTGCAACTCTAATGATGCTTAATATTTACCCTCATCTTGCTAGCTGCATTGAATTCTTTTATCTTATTCTGAGCTTCTGCCATATGTTCATTCTTGGCTGCTGACCCTTTGACCCATGGATGTTGTAATGCTTGATCTGCTGTTATCCTTTTTGTAGGATCAAGTTGTAGCATTTTGTTTATTAAATCCTGTAGAAAAACAGATTATTTGACATATAATCTTGAAATGGAATCCTTCAACATAGGTTGCTACAAGTATTGGTCCAGGTACCTCTGAGCCGCCAAAAAAATGCCTAAATATGATTTTTCAATAACAGTGAAGACCGTCCTTGTATAATACTTGGTAGTATATTCTACTTTTAATATATAACACTTTCTTATAATTTTAGACTTTTGAGGGGTAACTTAGCCTCTTGTCATATCGTGTCCTTTTTTGACATTTCAAAGAATAAATAAGGGTCTGTGTAATAACTAATCAAGAATGGTTTTTCGATCTATTTTAATCAGAAATTGTTTCTTCATTTAATTATTTATTTTGGACCAAGTCTGTCACAAGATAGAAGAATAGCCTCTTAAAGTTTAATATTTGAATATGATTGAAATTCTTAATAAAAACTAGAAATCAGCAAATAACCAATTAATAAAAAACAATAAAAGAGAAGAGTGGTGCAAGACAAAATATTTAGCATTCTTTGTTGTTTTGATACTGTGACAGTTATCTATCATTTTAGAAATTTATCCCAAAGTCGACATTAACTATCTCAAACTCTGAGTATAAGTTGAAATTTCGAATAATGTCAACTAGATTTGGGATTTAATACAGAATGACTTTCAAATCCTGATAATTGAAGTTTATGTATGAAAACATTTCAACAAAATTGTCCAAAATATCAGTTAGAAACTTAACTCCTATATCAAAGATATATATCAAACCTTAGCATTCCATGAAATACTGTCCCAGAATGGTGAATAAAAATGGTATTCTCCTTTCAGTATTCTTTTATATATTTCTCTGTCCGATTCTCCATAAAATGGTCTACAACCACATAACCTGAAAATGAGAGTTCATGAAAAGTTTCAATACAAAGCCTGACACCAGAATTAAAAATGTCAACGCATGATTAAGTAGCTACAGTGGTAGTGGATAAAAAGTCATCTACGTTTTAAGGGAACATTTGGGGCTCAATATTCCAGCAGCGCCTGCAAACGGAGTATATATCTCCCAAACGATATTCCAGGGCTTTTATTTCCTAACATGATTTCCTTCATAGTTGGTTGCCCGTTATGGAATACCCATTTTACAGATGACAACGAGTATGTTCCAATTGTTGTAACTATAATCCCGCCCCCTTTTCTCCAAATGTGACCTACCGAATTAGTCTTATCGCCGGGTGTGTACTAACATGAGAAAGACGATGGGTGCCACATGTGGAGCAGGATCTGCTTACCCTTCCGGAGCACCTGAAATTACCCCCAGTTTTTGATGGGGTTCGTGTTGCTCAGTTTTTGGTTTCCTATGTTGTGTTTTGTATACTATTAATTTTCTGTTTGTCTTTTCTTTTTTAACCATGGCGTTGTCAGTTTATTTTCGAATTTGAATGCCCCTTTGGTATTCTTCGCCTCTCCTTTGCACATTTGATTAACATTTTACTAAGTTTGCAGCTTTTAACTTAGTCTTCCTTGGCTAAATTTACCAAATCGTTTTTTATATATTTGTTAACTTTTAAAAGGCAAAGAGACTAGAAGCTCGTGTCGCTAACCTAGGACTATGTGCATCATTAACAATGAACTCTCTCTAACATTTGTAGACTAGAATAGAATTCATGACAAAAATATCTTTTTTGTTGATAATGATTGTATTGCTGTTCATTTTTTTTCTGTTTCTACTATAAAGAGTTTATCAACCATTTCGGCTATATTTGTCTTATTATTTTTCAGATCTTATCTTGCTGAACATTTTGGTTATTTGAAATGTCTATCTCTCTTTTATTGTGTTTTGAAATGCAAAAAAATGGAAAAAATTTTCATAAAAGAGGAAGAATTTCAAAAGATTAGACTGACAATTTTGGCCATGTCCGCTTATTTGTAGATCTTGTCATGCTGATCTTTTTCTCCATTTAAAGTGTCTATCTATCTATTATAATTTTCAAGATAATAGGCAAACACACTGAACATTGGTATGTGCCGTAATTTAAGACCAATAACTCCAAAAAGGAGTCGACTAAAGATATTGGTTTGAGACGTATTATTAAATCTTACCTTGCTGAATATTTTGATACTTGAAAGTTTCTATCTATCTATTATAGTTTTTGTCTCGCCTTGACGGAGTCAAAAAACGAGACATAGGTATGCTGTTTCCGGCGGCGGCGTCAACAATGTATTAGTTTGTGATTAGGTCAAGTCTATGGTGAACCACTAGTGGTAGGTCTATGATATCTGGTATACAGTTGTAATAGCATTGGCTCATCTCTTTACTATGGTGATTATTTGGTCCCGCCCCCTCAGTCATGGTCTATTGACTTTGAAACTTTGTTTACATGTATTAGTTTGTGATTAGGTCAGTTTAAGGAGAAACATTAGCGGTAGATCAATGATAATTGGTATGCAGTTGTATAAGCATTAGCACATCTCACTTTCATGGAGAATATTTGGTCCTTACCCCTCAGTCATGGTCTATTGACTTTGAAACTTTTGCTTAGTTTACATGTATTAGTTTGTGATTAGATCAGTTTAAGATGAACCACTAATGTTAAGTCAATGATATTTGATATGCATATGTATTGGCATTTGCAAGTCTCATTTCCATGGAGATTATATAGCACCCACCCCCTCATCATGGTTCATTGACTTTGAAACTTTTACATAGTTTACAAGTTAATGTTTGTGTTTAGGTTTGTTAAAAGGGAACGTCTTATGATAAGTCAATGGTATTTGGCATGCAGTTGTAATAGAATTGGCACATCTTATTTCCATAGAGATTGTTTAATCCTGTACCTTCAGTCATGGTTCATTGACTTTGAATATTTGCATAACTTACATGTTAAAGTATTACTATTTTAGTTTAAACATTTGCATTATCAAAATAACGAAAAGGCGAGACAGATCTATGTGTTAACATTTTATCAAGATATTAAACAAAACGCAATCAAATTAATGGTAAACATCTTCATTAAAGGAAACGAGTCAGTCTCGTTCTGACGATTCGGTTATTTGACTTATTTGTAGATCTTGTCTGATTATTTTTGCTAAAACATTTTTCTATATCTAATATAGTTTCTACCCTGACAGTTTTCTCTATCCATAGCGTTTTTTAAATAAACAAAACTTGCATTTTACATCTATATTCTATTTTAGCCATGTTGGCCACGTTGGTTGGCAGGCTTGGTCTTCGGAAACAATTTCTATATTTGATACCCCAATAATGATTGTGACAAAATTTGATTCGATTTGGTCCACTAGTGTCACAGTAAAATATTCTTGTACAAGTTGTCGAACAACGACGAGACTCCAAGTGATGAGAAAAGCTCACTTGGCTCTATGGACAAGTGCTGTGCAAATCCATTTCATTGCTACTGGAACACTTTAATCATGCACATGTAATTCAATTGGTCTTTTTTTCAAGCGCTCAATTCTTCCTCGATCGTTGTAGATGGTCCTAAACAGTGAAACAGTTTGATTTAAGGTTTATCCTAATAAATGTGATTTTTGTTTGAGTAGGTCAACGTACTGTGATAATTTTGCTTTTATGATTGAAAGATAATAACACAAATAAAATGATAAGAAATGATTCAACTTACAAAATATAGATAATAACTCCACAACTCCAAATATCTACTGCCGGTGTATATATCTTTCCTGTTAGTAATTCTGGTGCTGAAATTTCATGAAATAATGTTTAAATTTCAAAATTTAATCTGTTGAAGAAATTTCCATACTGGAATACATATATATTTATATATGTTTCCGAGGTATCTTGTTTCCTGGAAATTAGTATGTAATGAAGGGTGTAATTTATGCAATTACCTATCTTATTAACTACATAAAAAAACCTATGTTTTCTCTTTTCTATCCCTGTAGAAAGATTTGATGCTCGTTAAAGATGGCAATAAATAGCAATGTTGATAAACAATTTCCCTGGAATAAACAGGCTTCAAATGAATGCAGAAATTATGTAATGAAAGGTTCTACACTACTATGAACAGTACATACCACCGTAACCTGGTGTTCCACAAACTGTATTCATCTGTACTTCATGGTCCAATATTTTAGATAATCCAAAGTCAGCTGTAATTTAAAATTTCATTTTAAATATTATTTAAATGCTAAAGGTCATATATAGTCATTTAAAAATCATTTAAATTAAACATTATGTGCCAGCAATAAAATGATATACATTTCAAACAAGAATACCGGTTAGTGATCATAGGGCAATATGCCCTCATGCACACACCTTTACTTGTTTAGTAAAAGTGAAGTATGGGTCAAACTTATATCTAGCATATATTTTAAAAAGTTCAAATCAAAGATAACTTGTAAGCTAATTTCTAAGTTGGTATTAACACACCTTCATGCTAAACTACCTCAAACCAAAACTTTAACCTGATCAGTATACCATGAAATGTTTGTCAAAACCATAACTTGACATATATTTTTAAAAGTTCCATTCATAATAAAAATGTGATCCAGGTTTCAAGTTAATGTGTCCACAAATTCATGGTAAACTTGACTCAAAGTTTTATTCTGATACAGAAAAGACAAATCAGATAGACACAGCGAGACATGAAAACATAATTCTTCCTACTTTGGTAGTTTAAGGCCTGGCAACGAACATGTATTCCTGGTAATTTTCAAGCTAGAAAATTATTTCTGAACCTATTCGGAACTTTGAAATTCAAATTAATACAGGAACTAGAATTCATTGATTGTCGTGCTACACACACTCCCAATTCAAACTATTGGGAAACAGAAAGTAGGTGTCTGATAAATTCAGAAAGTTCTCACACATTAAATCTTATCAATGTCCAGCTTCTGACTAACTATGAAGTCATTCTGATCAGTGATACCTGTGAAAAGTATGACATGATATGTTTTGGAACAACAAAAAGACGAACAAGGTGAATGCAACATAACCCCACTTCTAGAGTTGGGGTATAATATTTTACATACCAATTTTCAGAGCTGAATCTTCTGTGAGATCTTCATATAATAAATTTTCAGGCTGAAAAAGACAGTTAATAATCAATTTATTAATATTCAAGTTTCAATTTTTATTGATCCTTATCCTAGGATTTTATTTTTATATCACATACATGATACAGGTACGAGTTAACAAAGTTGAATATGACATGTAAGTTTACACCTAAGTTTAAGCTGTGTTACAGCCAGAATTCTATTTCGTCAAAAAAAAGTCTCCCCATGATACCACCTACTTGTTTTTAATCATGAAAATGAAGCCATTTAAGGGATGACTCGCTGTCAATTTAGCACTTGAAAACTTTTTATTTATGCATGGCATCATTGAAGGCTTATTTGAAAGTTTTATTTTATATGACAAATTTATCTACTAGCTATCATGCATCGCTTACATTACTTTTAGGCCTTTGTTAACTTTAAATTTTTTTCTGTTTGGTTATCAAGTGGAATTTTGGAAAGTTCAATAAAACACTAATACACATCTTTCTAAATATGTCGTGGAAGGGCACACTAGACATTTTCACAGATTAATGATCCTAGATAACACACACACACACAGGATATAGTGCTGTTTTAAGTTATACATTTTTAAAATCCAAAAGTAAAATCGTCAACTGCATTTTTGTTAAAAAAAAATAAAGGGTTGTACATCTTTTCGTCTTTTTTTAGTACATTTAATATGCCTAAATTTTTTATTGAAAGATTGAATGGACGAAAAATTAAAAAAAAAATACCTGTAAGAAAATACTTAAAGTTAAAACATTTGGTAATTGCACAAAGCTTTTTTTTATTGTTATTCAAAAACACATACTCTGTTGTTATGACTCATTAAAAAGATATTTTACTTGATCCATATATTGTTTGGTATTGTCAATTTGAAATTTTTTATATATCATTCAACTCATCATAGATGAGCATTGAAATTTTGTACTTCAGACGCGCGTTTTTAATACAAATGCCCAATATATAAACATAATGGAACCTGAAGGGAGATTATATATCAAATATTTTTCTTTTACATGTTTTCAGGACAAAACCTAAGTTTCTGTTTCCGAGAAAATCATTGACCATTGTTACCATTTTATCAAAAAACACTGATGCCAAGGGCAGAAATGCATATCAATGCTTAACCAATATTGGATCTTTCTAAGGATTGTTTTCTGTGGAATGTATGCTTATGCATCTCCTAGACCCAGAAGTATATGGGTCTACCAATATCGGCTGTTTTGTGCAAATGTGTCTTTAATTTCAAAGTTTATAAATATCTCTTAGCTCCCACCTATAATTCAAAAACAAGTATATAGGATGCTAAATTCTTAATTATAAAAAAGCTTCTGTCATTGTTTCATAAAATTCTATGAAGGTATTATAAAGTAATTGATATGCAACGAACTTTAACCCGACTGTATCTACTTGTTAATTGAAAAAAGTAAGTCCTTCTATCAGTAAAATATGAAAAAAAGAAACTAAAATTTCTTTGGATACTGTCTTTTGATCATAAAAAATCTTCTGTACAGATTTGATAAAACTGCTTGAAGTTTAACAAAGTAACTGAAAACTGATTTTTTTTTAACTTAAACTGTATCTCAATGTTAAATAAATGTTAAAAGGTACGTTAATTTATGAGTTAAATACAGAAAAATAAAAAAAAACATTTCAAAATTTGGTCTGGATACCATAGAACAAATTCTGTCCAAATTTCATAAAATTCCATAAAGGTTTGACCAAGTTATTGATATCTAACAAAACTTAAACCACACACTGAACCTAAATGTTGACTTAGACGACGACGACGCTGTAGATGTTGCAGGGTAGACAAAATAACTGTTTAAACTAAAAATAATTAGTACAATTGCATTTTTTACCTGAAGCTATAAATAAAGTTATATTTTTAAATTTAGCCACACAATTAAACAAATCTATTAAGATTATTTTTGCTGTAATACATTAGACAAAAGATAAAAAGTCCCTTGACTCTGATATCTAATGTTCCTCGTCTCAATCACCGAAACATTCCTACCTTTAAATCTCTGTGCACCACTCCATTCTGATGAAGATACTGGAAAATCAAGAAATATCAGAAGGTATATAAACTTAATTGCTGACATACACGCATATGGGGTCCAGGGCAGTAAATAAGTAATATAATATAAACTAAATATCTAACAATCAAAAATCAAACATCCACTGATCACATATTATTGATTATATGTCCTGTTTTCAAAATATTGACCACTCTACAAGTATGCACAAGATGATTCAGTAAAAATTACTCTTGGCCATGAATATTCACAGCAAATAGTGAGAATTGCAGATGATTCATTCAAAAATACAGACCTTAATATTCATTAGATGTTCAAGTATCTATCAGAGTCATAACTATAAAAAGACGAATGAGAGTGCTTTCACTCTAAACGAAAATCGACAATCAATCAATCAGAATGAACTAGTGATTTATATATCTGCATACAGCTGAGCAGCCAATTGATTGGCTATTTCCAAGATGACTCAAATCGAAATTCAGGAGTCGTTACATGTTTTAATTGAATAGAGCTATGGTGCTTGCGAGTAGGAGAGATCAACTAATGAAAGCCAATGAATTATTTTAAGAAATTAATTTAAACATATTTTATTCGCTAAATCTAAGAAAAATGGGTTTGACACAAGTAAATCATACTTATGAAGACTACTCCATAATACAATATAATGATAATATTATGAGCATGTTTTAAATGAATAAATACCTTGCTTATTATACATGTTATACGAATTATAAATAAAGTGAAGAAAAAAAGGAGAATCAAATATTGAGAATTCCTATTCTGTGATGATGACTTAGGTTTCGATGATGATGTCAATGATGATGACTGTCCTTGCCAATTTCAATAATACATTATGAGGGCACAAGAAATCTGTTCGACCTTATATGGTTTATGGCTGTTCTTTTCTATCTTACCTCAACAGCAATAAGTGTCTGTTTTACAGCGGCAGCTGCATCTTTCTCAGAGTAATTACCTCGTGTCACTATCCTGAAAACAAACTCAAATATGTTAACAAACAATCTTTTGTAAATATCCAAGAAATACTAAACAAAATTAACAAATACAGATAAATGCGGCCTATAAAGTGCATCTATTGCTCAACTGAGTCTAATGCCCATGTCAACAATGGCCACCCCCAAACAATACTAGTCAAAATATTCAATCTCTTATAAGTTTTGCAGCATTTAATCCGGTTCTTTTGAAATACTTCCTGGCTATCTAAAATTAAATCTATGACAATTATGGATAACTTTTGCTATGGTCAGAAGGCAATCATCACGCACAAATAAAAAAGGTGTCTATGGCATACAGTCACTCAGAATAACTACGATAATTATGATCATCATATCTATTAAAAAGATTTTTAATAAATTCAAATAATGGTTTTGAAAACTACTATTCATAAACAGCAAAAGCTAGAAATCAATAAGGTGCCATCATAGAAACTAGTGTTTTCTTTTTCGAAAAAATAAAGATTTCTAACCCATCATGAGTTTATTTCTATTGACCCTAAATAAAATTCAACTCATTACACCAAACAATCAGATTTGATTCTATACTGAAATAAATACACTAAGTATATGATATGTTTTAACAAAATTTTTTTTTAAATTTAAAAAAATTGGTTATGATCAAGAGGCAAGGATATTAAACACATACGTACAGACTGTCGTTGGTTCATGTTTGTCATATTTCTTTTTCGTAAATTGTTTTGTTGTAAATAAGGCCGTTAGTTTTCTCAATTGAATGTTTCATATTTTTTCATGTCGGGGCCTTTTATCGCCAACTATACGGTATGGGTTTTTCTCATTGTTGAAGGTCGTACGGCTTCCTACAATTGCTTACATCCACTTTATTTGAACTATGCTGTAGAGTTGTCTCATTGACAATCATACTACATATCCTTATTTTTATATCATGTTTAAGACAATATGAGTATTTGTACCATGCGCGTATGGTCATGTCTATATGCGTATAATCATATCACCTACAAATCGTGTTTGGTCGCACCATATGAATATATCATACTCGTTTGTTATTTACATGCCGGTTCGTATGAGTATTTAAATATAGATATTTTTCTAATATTCTTTAGAAATGCATTTTTGTGTAAAGGTGACAGCACGGGAGACAACAGACGCCACGTTGACTACTGGTATAGTACGATGAAAATGTCCGGTTGTCTTTTCGTCTGTTAGCAATAAACTCATCATAGGTCATGGTCATATGAACCCTTCCAGATAGATTTGAACACCTTACAATTATTCCATACACCAAATATATAAAAAACTGTATTTTATTTTTATCAAGCGTCGAACCATGGAAATTAGGTCAAGGACAATGGACATATGACAGACGGAAACTTCGTAATATAAGGTATCTGCATACAAGGTATGAAGCATCCAGCTCCTATAGCTTCTAAAATATAAAGTTATATACAAATAGTTTACGCTGCCGCCGGTGCCACCACCGTCGCCGCCGGATTGTAATCACTATGTCTCGCTTTATGCGACTTTCATCGCAGGCGAGACAAAAAAAAACCATAATTTTATAAAATGCACTGGGTTATTCATCGTCACTTTATTAATTATACAACAATGATAACCACATGATTTATTAACTCAAAACTCAATTCTCATTACCTATTTTTTAAGACAAATTGGAGGACCTTATAAAATATAAAATATAAAAGATTAAAGTTTCAACGTTCATCATGTAACATGTAAATAACTTTACCATATGGGTATGGTCAGACCTTATGAGTATATAGTATAAACGTGTATGGTCAAAACACATCTATGGTCTGGAACAATTACATAAATATGGCTAACTTACCTTTCAAAAAGTTCACCTCCTGTCACTAACTCTAACACCAGATAAATGTGCTGCGGTGTTTCAAATATTTCTTTAAGTCTTATCTTAAATATAAATAACATATAAATTTAGCAAAATAGGTGGAACAAATGAATGCAGATAATCAGTTTTCAAAAATACGTTATGTATACAAATGTATGATTTAATGGTTTTGCATTGTCAATACTCAATGTAAATGAGTCGAGGTAAGATGAACCATGCCAGACAGGCATGTTCATCTAACAATTATTCCATACACCAAATATAGTTTACCTATTGCTAATGGTATAGGAGAAACAGACCTAATGAATTGAACATTGACCAATGAACCATGAAAATGAGGTCAAGGTCAGATGAAACATGCCAGACAGACATGTACACAATGCAATCATTCCATACACCAAATATAGTTGACTTATTGCTTTTTTGTATCCGAGAAACAGACCTAATAACGAAATTTGAACATTGACCAATGAACAATGAAACTAAGGTAAAGGTCAGATGAATCATTTGCACTAAATAGTGTTGACCTATTGGTTATAGTTTCTGACAAAAAGACCAAGTCAGATAAAAATAGCATTGACCAATGAATCATAAAATTGAAGTCAAGGTCAGATGAAACCTGCTAGTCAGACATGTACAAGGCGATTTAATATATGTTAGGCTATACCTTTGGGTTTTAAATTTACTATGACATGTTGTACCATTATTTTTGTAAATGACTGTCTACCTTTCAAAAAGTTTTTTTTTATTATATGACTTCGAGTGTTTTCCTAATTTACAGAATCTGTTGACGATCTCTTTACCCTTTATGATCACAACACATTCAATGTAAAATTCAAATGTTCTGACAAGTGAATACTAACAATCTAAGTATCACCATTTAGAATAGAGAACAACTTTATCTCACTTTAGATAAATCATCCACACCTCAACTGATGTAGAAGGGAAGAGAATATACAGTTAGTTGTATTTTTGTAATTTTCTATATTTGATGAAAACAAAATGTGTTAGTCTTCCAAGGAAGATGTGATGCTTTCTCTGAATAATGTAAGTAGAAATTTGCTATGGAAAACCCAAAAAAATCACAGAGATCAAAACCTAAAATAGGACTAGCACACAACTTCTTCTTCAACTGTTTCGGTTCTAATATACCATTGGCTTTCAAAAATTCGGCTTTGATCGTTCCTGATGACAATAAATCCAGAAAAGCGCTTCGAACGCATGAAACTTTTAAAATTTTGTTTTCATTTCTTACAGCAATGGATCGATACCGCTGCTGGTCGGCTATCTATCTCCGAGTGTATCATCAGCTCAGTATTCAGTACATCGGCGCTGAGAAACCTTTTATAAATTGTCCGTTTATAAACTTATAGATTATCAAGAAACTAATTTTTCAACTCCCTCAGTCAAAATTGATCAATTGCTCTTCAACTGATTCGGTTCTTAGACACCATTGGCTTTCAAACATTCGGCTTTGGGCGTTCCTGATGAAGGTAAATCCAAAAAAGTGATGCGGACACATGGAATTTATAAAGTGTTGTTTTAATTTTTTCATGTGCTGCGAAAGAAATTGTGCAAGTTTGTTGGATATAGATATATATATTATTTATCAGATAAACATAAAGTGTATATGATGCTGACAATAACACAAAAGAAAAGAAGAAATTCCTATATGTTGCTATAGCTTTTTCAGGCAACACAAACATAAGTATATCTTATTGCATTTGTCAAATAGATTTTCTGGGTTCTCCGACATGGACTTCTGAAAAATTGATGCAGGTTCCAAAAAGAGCTCACGCTTTGCAATGTATCTCCGTCAAGCTGCTGCCTAAATACTAAGTCATTCTGTTCAGTAGAAACTGAGAAAACTGTAATAAAAATGTTTGTTAGAAAAAAGACAAAAGGACAAGCTGAATACAACAAAGCTCCACTCCTAGAGTGGATTAAAAATTGTTACTTGTCATTAAATATTTACATACCACATTTGGATGATTTAATTTCAACAAAACACCAATTTCTGTATTGATCACTTTGAAGTCAACCTAAAATTATAAGTTTCAATAAATCAAGAATATCATTAAATACGTGTAAGGTATCAAAACTTTCGTAGGCCATGAACATCAGACAGCATACCCATTCTTATCTGATCAACACCTTTGAGTAATAGATAAAACAAATATGATACTATGCCTACTCTAAAACAATACAATATCTAATTTGGAACATGGATTCAATTACGCCTCAATTAAATTTGCCTTTAAAAGATCAGCGATATTTCATTGATGGTACACCAAAAGGAAAAGCAATAGATATTGTTTAAAACCTTGCTTATTCACCTCAAAAGTTAATAATGCTCAAAGTCGTAACTATTGTGCTAACAATAGTCACAACCTTAACATTACTTAGAGTAAATGAAATTGGTTTCATATTTTCTCTATCGAAAGTGGTTTTTAAGATACATTTGTAATAGACAAGGCTTTAGTTTTACCCATATGTTCTATTTTTAGCCATGTCAGTCATGTTGGTTTGCAGACGCGATCATCAGACATATTTTTTAAACAAGATCTCCAAATGCATGATGATTGTGGTTAATATAAAAATAAGAAGATGTGGTATGGATGCCAATGATACAACTCTCCACCAGAGACCAAGTGACATAGAAATTAACAACTATAGGTCACTAAGTATAGTTTTAACTGTTGCAGTAGTTTCAGAGGAGAAGATCCTTGTTAAAGTAACGTACGACGGATGACAGAAACCATCAGGAAACCATTTCAATAAAAACTCAATTTTAGTAACAGTGACCTTGAAATTTGACCTACACATGAAATGACATTAAATCAATAGCACTTTTGCTTTCCTATATCTTCTATCTATATAAATTTCATTGCAATTATGCAAGTGAAACTGAAGTCTCTACCTGGAAATTATTTTCTCATACAAATTGTATTTTGGTAACCGTGACTTTCAACTTTGACCTATTAAAGTCATATGAAACGGATAATGTTAAGGAAATGTTTGAAGCAATGCATGCAAGTATACTGGACTAAGTGATATGTGCACTTTTTTAAAAACATTTATTATGAATTCATAACGTATAATATACAAAAAATATTGCATTTGGTGATTGTTGATTAAAAACTTTGGTTGCTAGTAAATTCCTGATTTGGGTGCTGAATTTAACTGATCATAAACTCGACAAACAATCAAAACAAAAGCAAGTGTATAATAAATGAGATGATGGAGCGGAGTTTTTCTTATATTTTCCATGTGTTTCCATTTGTTAATAAAACTATTTGAATAAAACTTTCTTGTAAATTCAGTATCCTTCAGATATTAGCTTGGAGTCAATCCAGTACTGTTCAGTAGGTTTCTGGACAATTAAGTATGTTGTTGTTTTGTACAGGTACATAACAACAACTGAACAGTACTGAATTTACCACAGCTGATAATTCTAACAATTGTCTGAAAGACTGAACATGACTTAATAAAATACGTTAATCCAGGGCTTGAGATTCCTATCATGATTTCCTTGATAGAAGGTTGCTGTTTACAGGGAAGCCATCACGAGTTGGTTCACCGTTATGGAATATCTGTTTCACAGATGACGACAGATATGTTCCAATCGTCGTAACCACAATTTCGTCCTCCGTTTCCCCGAATGTGAATTACTGGGCTTGTACTTACATGAGCAACACGATAGGTGCCTCATGTGGAGCAGGGTCTACTTACCCTCCCGGAGCACCCACAGTTTTTGGTGGGGTTCGTGTTGCTCAGTCCTTAGTTTTTTATGTTGTTTTTATGCTGTTTTTGGTCTTTTGATATTCTTCTTTTTTTTTGGCATGGTATTGTCAGTTTATTTTCGACTTATAAGTTTGAATGTCCCTTTGGTATCATTCGCCTCACTTTTAATAATTAATTTCTCAGTCTTTTTAGGTGTAATGCCACCAAATCATAGTACGTCACATCTGGTTGCAGACGAAAAAGGGTTGAAAAAAAATATTCTCTTGAATTTCACAGTTGTAGGAAATTAATCCTACATTTCATTGCAGTAAAAAATTTCTGAGTCATAAACATATAACTTGGATGTTTCAAAGCACCCTTATTTTTTTATTTGGTGTTTCTATAGAATATTTTGGAAACTTAAGGTTACATGGTTACTAAAGCTTGTATACAGGGAAAAAAGGGGTGAATTTGATTGGTTAACTTCCAGTGATGGTTATTTTCTCATATGCAATGAAACGTTATGTGAAATTTTGTCTATAGTACTGGGCAGGATAAAACTTTACTCATGTCAAGTATTTCTTTATTTGAAACAAAGATAAATTCTGCACAATTTTTTGAAAAGTGCATATTTAACAAAGACTAATAGGGGAAAGTCAATGGTGGTATTACACCTTTAAAGCTGTTCAGATCAAAATAACCGTTACACTTCAAAATTATTTTACTAGTGCTGTATTCCACCTGTAAAAGTGTTATTCAAATCAAGAAGAGAATCTCAAATTACCTTTTTGTTTCAAACACACAGATGGATGGACGGGACAGACTGAAGGACAACAAGCGGTGGGTATATGTTCCTGACATTTTTGGGGGAGGATTGCAAACCTGGTTTTCATTACATTTATAAGTGTCATTTTGAATCTTAAAAAAACATTGGTATAAAAGTTCTCAACTCTTTGCACTAAATGACCTAAAATATTATAATGTCGTTTTCCAATCCATTAAGGATCATAACTCCAGGACGACAAAAGTGAAAATCATCATTACAGAAACTTGATCTCAATTTTGTCTTCATTTAACAACATATTTAACATGATAAAATTTGAAACATATTGGAAAACAGTTCTGAAGTTATTGCATTAAAACGACTTCAAGTGCCTGGTTCTATATTTTTCTCAACTATCCAGGACCATTTCTCCTGAACAGCAAAAGTGAAAAACAACAATGTCGGACTTGACCTCAATTTTGTCCTTAGTTACAACATATTACAATTTGATAAGCATCAGTTCAATGGTTCATAAGAAACAGGTCGAGGTTCCTGCCTTCCCACTCATATTGTACAACCCCAAATAAATAACTGGATTTTTGTCAGAAAACAAGTTAATACATGATTTAAAATTTTATAATACTTTTTACATGTTGTAGTATGCATGTGCATTTGTGCATTCAAAAGTTTTTGAAAACATTTAAATTCTAAATGTATAAGCCCTTTCAACCAGATTAAACTACTTGTGTCATATTATTACACTACACATACTTATAATCAACAAATCTGTGTACAATCTTCTTTTCTACTTACCCGTTTGTTTATGATTTTGACAGCCCATGCCTTACTTGTTCCTTTATCAATACACTTGTGCACTACAGAAGTAGCTCCTCTGAAAACATATAAATTTGGAATGAAAGCCTTATATATGTTACAGTGAATTTTAAGAATTAGGAATTATGTATAATCACTGGTAACTTTAGTGATTGTGTATAATTACTAAAATTTTCAGGGATTATACATAATCACTAGAAAAAATGTCAGGGATTATACATAATAACTGGAATAAAGAGACAATGAATAAAAGTAAAATAATTTATTTTATAAAATCATAACTAAACATCTTTAGATACATGAATATCAAAATCGTAAGCACAATATTCTAATGCAAATCATTAATTTTTACAAACTACATTGTAAATTTGGATGACATCTACAACGAGGGTGTGGATGGAGGGTCCCTCATTTCTTTATTTTTCTAATTGTTATATATACATCATTTTTCTCTATACTGTATATATTAGCACACTATTATTCTCTATTTTTTTTTCTGGCTATTTTTGTCTATTCTATATTTTTAGCCCTTATTTTGCACTGTTTGCCCATTATTTTCTATTCTGTAAACCCCACCCAGACCCTTTACTATTGAAAATTTGCTCTGTTTATCCCTTTTTTTTAAACCTAAAAAAAACCCATAGCCTTCACATATTGAATCTGATTTTTCTGCACTTTGAAGAGAAATAAAGTGTTCATTAAAATCATCTGAAGGTGCTAAAAAAGTCAATCAGACACCTCAAATTGATTCCTTCTGTATCATCTGAGCATAATTTAATGTTTCGTAGTCATGCATTATCCTTTTCAGCCCTTTCATGAATGATGGCCATTATGTAATTAGTGTCTCCCTTCCCACGATCAACATGCGGAATCGGCATCACAGCCTCCTCCAAAATTGTGTTCAATCTGTTAAGCATGTGTTCTGTTTGAGTTTCTGGGCGTTTAGTAGCGTTTCTTTGCTTACTTTGAATTCCTTGTTCGTAAACTTTCATCCCCTTTGTGTTACAGCAAATTACAGGATATGTGCATTAATGTTGGTATTACTAATTCCAATTTAAAATACTTATTTATTTACGAGTTAATGTGATTTAACATGCACAGTTAAATAGAATATCATCAGAAAAAACTGTTCACTTTAATAAGATTTGATAAATGGACAGGGAATGCCAACTGTCCACTTAAACCATAAAGAGGTTATAATACAATTTATTTGTCTGTATTTGATTTATTTTTACCAAACAGAGAATCTTTGTATTATTCTTAATCTCTGAAAACATTCCAGGGAATTTGTTAAAATAATTCTTAAGACCTCTCTAAGTAAATTATAGCAAGCTAAAAATAAAGTTTTTCCATGTTAACCTGAATATATACCAAGCTGGATGTCTTCCATCTTAATTGACTGGCAGTGTCTGGCTTATGTGTCAAATTGTCACATGCTCGACAAAATATCAGTACCACCGTTCATTATTCCTAATATTTGTAGAACATGTAAATTGACAAACGTAAGCTTCAATGTCAACGAAAAACTTGAATTGTCTATGTATATACCACTAACGCCTCTAGTAAGCTTTATATATGGTTTCTCCAGCATTAGCCTTATGAAGTTTGAAAACATTTTAACAATTAACCCATCCGATTTCAACAAAACAGATTGTAAAATTGTTTCAAGGAAGATACAAAGTTGACCACGATGGTCTGAATATAAATCAAAGCATGTAAGGCCTGTTCAGCTTCTTAGCAGCTCATAACACTAGCAAGTCTGTCAATATCTATATAAAATACCAGATGATGAGCAACTCATGACAGTCAAGCATGCATGCTTAAGTTTATACAAAAGAACTATTCCTTAGATATTTTCACAATGCTATGTTAAATCAGACTGCTTAAAGCATGAATTATAATACAAGTCAATCAAGGGTGTTAAGTTTGATACAATTTGAGCTGCAGTACCTCCATTTACATAGCTTAATTGAACATTTCAATTATTGTAACTGTTTGTTATATTGTTATCATTAATCAAATTATTAAGATTATTGTCTAATATTTCACAAGTTCTTCTATGTCAACATTTTAATGTATCTATGGAAATGGTCATCAGCCAATTATTACTTCATAAGAAAAGATCTTGCTGGTATTCCAGCTACTATTTTTTTCTTTTTTCATTAAAATAATTTTAAGACTTATGCAAATCAATTTATTATTACAGTAGAAAAAGCTAATAAGCTAATCATCAGTAAAGTATAAAACTAGAGGCTCTTAAGAGGAAATAACTCAAACAACGAGTCCACTGAAGATTTCGGCCATTATGGCTTATTTGTAGATCCTGTCTTGCTGATCATTTGTGCTATTTAAAGTTTCTATCGATCTATTACAGTTTTCAAGATGATAGGCAAAAATGGGAAAAAAAGGGGGGAAATCGTCATTAAAGGGCAATAACTTCAGTAAGTGGTCGACTAACGATTTCTGTTATCTTTGATTTATGTGTAGATCTTTTCTTACTGGTCATTTTTGCTTATTAAAGTTTCTATCTATCTATTATAGTTTTTAAGATATAAAGCGAAAACGCAAAAAATGGTAAAAATCGTCATTAAAGGGCAATACTCTAATAAGGGGTCATATAACGATTTTGGTCGTGTTTGACTTATTTTGTAGATCTTGTCTTGATGATAATTTTTGCTATTTAAAGTTTCTGTCTATCTAATATAATTTTCGAGATAATAGACAAAAAAAAAATTAAAAATGGTAAAAATTTTCATTTAAGGGCAATAATTCCTCTAAGAATTCGTCTGATAGTTTTGACAAAAATGTACAATAGGTAGAGCTCAACATTCTGAACATTTTTGCCCCGTCAGATTTTCTCTATCTACAGCGGTTTTAGAAATAATAAGCAAAATTTGCATTTTACCACTTTGTTCTATTTTTAGCAATGTCAGCCATCTAAGTTGACAGGCGGGGTCATCGGACACATTTTTCAAAACTAGATACCTCTGTATTGATTGTGGCCAAGTTTGGATAAATTAGGCCCAGTATTTTCAGGGCAGAAATCATATTTGAACTACAACAACAATACAATGTAACTGCATGGTCTACGTACCCTCCCCCTTTTCCTCTGTCATATCACTGTTACTGGAATTAGTTTATCAATCAGAGTAAAACGTTTTAATTGATTATGATCTTGTTATTTTTATAAAAATGTCTGAATTTATAGCTCAGTTTACCACAAAAACACAACAACAACAAAAATTTATTAAGCCTTCGTTTGACTGTTTGATATAAATAAATTTTGCATCTGGTAACTAACGTTCTTCACGGGCACCTTGTATCCTTCAAAAAAACATACTCCCCCAATTCTGTCAGAATTTCATATTTTTCCTCGAACGATACTTCTTTAATACTTTCTGCTATCCAATATTCTTGTCTTTTTTCTGGCATCTTGATCGGAAATCAAGAAAGCTTCCTTGTCAACACAATACTTCTTTGAATACAAGACAAATTCCGAATGGAATAAGAAATATTCGCGGGAAAATACAAAATGTATTTAAGTGCTGTAAAGGATGTAAATCATTTTTTTTTTGTGTTTAGTTCTAAAGGGGATATTTGTTAAATTTCAAAATTACAAATCAAGGAAACCAAACAATACCTTGGCCACACAGGCGCTTGGGCTCATTAAATATGTTTAAATGGGTTTATACATCTATGGGTTGAGGTTTGGATAATTTGTTTTCATTATTATCAATGGTATGGATAGTTAAATAAGGATTTTATCAGAATGGAAAAGATCATCCAAAACAAGGTAAGACAAGCTTAGAAGTGTTAAATATGTGGTATTAAAACAGAAAATTGGATATTCAGTGCAAATCATAAAAAAAATATCGAAATCCTGTACCGTGCATAAGCTCCTGGGCTTGGTCACTTTAGAAAATGACAAAACTTGATACAAATGTGAACAGGTCTCTGAAGACTCACAGAACACAGACTGGGTTATTTCAATAAATGTAAACCAGCAAAATGAGGACGATCGATTCTCGTATTACATAAAAAAGTACAAACATACAAGAATATGTATTAGCTGCTTTTAATGGAACTTTCAGATTTAAATGTTAAGATGCAGGTACTGATAAATTCAATCTGGGACTATTAAACTATTACACTAACATATATAATATATTTTCCTAGGTTTAACTAATATATACGTTAAAAAATACTTCAGAGGCAGTAATTTCGTTGGTTGAGCAGAACGTTGTCAGATTTATGTAAGCAAAGTTGACATTGGGGCCTGTATTTCAATCAGTTGGCAAAGAGTTATCAAGTAAATAAATTTTAATTAAAGCTAACAGACAAGTTAGATTTACTGTGGCATTAAGTATTTTTGAATTTAACCTGCATTGTTAAAATTCTTAACCAAAGTAGAAAATCTCTAAATTATATTTACATTTAACTCAGGAGTGTTGGCTCTTTTAAGCAGATCCATTAATACATCACAGTACTGGTAAATGTTGGAAACACTGATCTTATTATTCAAATTATTGCGATGTTAATATGTGGTGGGAAAATGAAAGATATGATGAAAATTGTGAATGTGAGAGCAAACTAACACAGAAAGCATGGCTGCAAAGTTAAAATCTATATATAGTGAACAGCCTTGAACAATGAATTAAATCTAATACAGAAAAATTACTGAAATAAACGTATGATAGGGACAAATACTTATAATTAGTATCATATAGCTCTTGCAAGGCCTAAACTAGAGGCTTACCCGAGATTATTACTTTTTGTTGCTTTGCATATAGGTGCTACTCTTTAATCTCAATCCCGTCTTAAAACAGGTTGGATTTTTGAAGGAAGGCTATTGCCAATATCAAATCAGAACCACAATCGTAAGACTTGTTTATTCTCATGATACTAAAAATTCACAAAAGGTTTCGCGGAACCATGTGTCTAACCAGTGATAGCTGCTGGCAATATAAATGTGAAATGCTAACTGCTAAAACTGAGTCTATTCATCTGTAAAATATGGAGAGAAAAATGTTATATCGAAAATGGTCTTTAGATGCTTTTCTTTGTCGTGTAGAAGCTTCTTTCCAAGTTTCATTATCCCACTAATCATAAAAATGAAAACTGAAAATTTCATCAAATTCTATGAAGGTTTGACAAAGGTATTGATTGATGCTTAAAAAAATAAAGCGATACTGGATACGTTTGCGTTAGCTACCAAAGTGCATTAATCAGTAAAATACAGAAAAAATAAAAACAAAATGTTTTCAGAATTTTTCTCTGTATACTGTATTCTGCTCATAAAAAACCGTCATTCCAAGAGAAAAATGAAGGTTTGACAAAGTTTTTGATATTTAAAAAAAAACAAAATAGGACAACTGTTGGAACCTTAATGATGACACCGCCACAACTATGCTGAAGGAATGTAGGGTCACTATGTCTGTTATGTGTCAAATTGTAGCATGCTCTACAAAAAAATTAGTATCGACACTGCCCCATCCCCCACGTTTTTATGATTAGTTTATTCATAATTCCTGAATAATTTAGTTCACGTTGGACTAATATTTATAAAATATGAAAATTGACAAACGTAAGCTTCAAAGTCAGACAAAATATTTGCTTAATATGTAAGTACCACTAACGCCTCTTGTAAGCTTCAGATGTGGACACTTTATATATATATGTTTACTCCAGCATTAATCTTGTGAAGCGTGAACACATTTTGCCTTGAAGAATCATTGAAGAGTAAATTCCAAAATCGACAAATAAGAAGTGTTCCATTTGGTAGACACAATTATTTCATCCGATTGCAACAAAACAAATGTAAAATTTTTTCAAGGAAGATACAAAGTTCAAATAACAGAAACAATTGGCTCTTTCAAATGAAAGTAGTGTGACCAAACTTAAGGCAATGGCCTATAGTCTTAAATAAAGCAGCTGTTTAAATTTAATAAGAAAACAAAACTTGCATGTGCTGTCAAATTGACAGCAAACATGGTTGTGGGTATTGTGAAGGTAATCATTGTTGAACTTAAAGAGAGGACAGGAAGTGTGTAAAGAATTTTCCTTTTGTCATCAGTAACAAAATATAAAAAAATTAAAAGAACTGGTCGAACAGTTCATAATCTATTGCACAGAAACAACATAAGTACCATTTTCCAGGACATAACATGTGAAAATCATCATTATCAAACCTTATATCTATTTTGTCATCAGTTACAACATAATAAAATTTGAAAAGCATTGTTTGAACATGTACAGTTCAATTATTGCACAGAAATGACATTAAGGGCCATTTTCCAATCAATCAATTGGACTACAACTCCAGAATATCAAATTTGAAAAGCAGTTTAACAGTTTTTAAGGTAACACAAGGAAACAGCTAGAGCTGCCCGTCCATCAGCACGCCATAAAAGACCCCAAATCAATAACTGGATTTTAATAGACAAAAACTGTTAACAACTAGTGAACTAGTGTTACCTATAGAATCTGATTTATGCATAATTATAGTTGACATTTAATTCAAAATACTTTTTTTTAGGTCTGACATGAATTCAGAGAAAAAATCCGTCTATAACATACAGTTCTCCCTAATCAAAATGTTTTAACATTACATATAATTCATGCAAAAGATACTTAATGTTATGTATTAAATTTATATTTAATTAGTTATCAAAGGTACCAGGATTATAATTTAATACGCCAGATGCGCATTTTGTCTACATAAGACTCATCAGTGACGCTCAGATCAAAATAGTTTTAAAGCCAAACAAGTACAAAGTTGAAAAGCATTGAGGACCCAAAATTCCAAAAAGTTGTAAAACACCATTGATTGATGTGTGTGTGCTTAATGTCCAGTGGCAAATTTTCAATGCATATTGAAAAAGATTTAAGATAAGGAAAGTTGTGTGTTCATCTTTTGTATACTTCAACCATTGTATCCAGATTATAGTTTGTGACTTTGAACTCCTTTCATCCACAACAGACTTTCGTATATGTTCATTTCTTGCATAGTGGAATTTGATTGATTTATTGTTGTTTTAATCATTACCAGCCCCCTGAGCTCTATCATGGTGGTCAGTTTTTATTGGCAGAGGAAGCAGGAAAACAAAAATCCTAGTGAATTAAGATTGGAATAAAAAGCACCTTAAAGAGAGCGTGGTACCACGAAATTGACAGCTTCAGTGTTGACTGGTAGTGATACCTGTAGATAAATTACTTCACTCGATCAACTCACCCTGCAATTTGAAGGGCTGTTAATTTTATGACATTGCACTGTTTTCATGCTATACCAATTCTGATTTAAATTTCCACCAAAACCTACCCTGTATGTCTCCTGTCACCTGCACACTGAAGTATAGAATTAAGATGGTTAAAGTTTGAAAATAGGTCATAATTCACTCAAAATCTTTCTGTAATCAGTATGGGAAATATTTTTATACATAAGATGAAATCAAAAGTAATTTTATCATTGCACTAAATATTTTGCCAGGATGATACGACAATGTCACTATTCTATTGAAAACTTGTTTCCATGGCATATTAAAGAGTATTCACTAATACTTTCCATAAGCAAAACTGCATACAGAAATAATTGTGTTTAAATTGTGTCATCAACAGTTTACTTGAAGTAACATCTTCCTGTGATACTGGATGGTCTATGCAAAGAACTATTCCACATCCTGTGTATTCAAAGTATTTTACACAGCATACATTGTAAAACAGTTATATTATCAATGAAATAAACTAGATAACAAATATTTATTCAGATAAAATATTACATTTTAGTTTTCTTGCCTACGTACTATAAATACAATAAAAAAACTGGAATGTACAAAATAAAGGAAGAAAAAAGATATCAAAACTATCACAGAAGCAACACATGTTTATACAAAATCAATTGTAAACATTAAATATTGTAAAAAAACTATGTAAAGGTAGATATGTACAAATATTACTGATTTTTTTTTGATCTACAATAATCCAACAGTCATCTATATAAATGATGGACTAAGATTCCTATCAGTCTTAAATTGCATACAAAGTATCACTTCTTTATAACAAATTATGTGTAAGAATATTTAACCTAAGTGCAAACAAACAAAAAAGATTTTTGGAGTATAAATGCCATAAAAGTATGCAATCTTCCAAAAAATGTATTACTGTAAAAGATTCAAAAAAGACATTTATGACACAGAAAACCAGTTTTGTTGCAACATAAATATTTCAAAGATTAAACTTTTTTTGGGACTCTTTACATAATGTGTGTAGAAACTTTCAACCCAGGAATGCTCTAAAATTAAGGACATCCCCCCAAAAACAAAACAAAAAATCTCATAAAATTCACACTTTAGGTGACAGCAGTGACCACCACCCATGGCAATACATTTTTTGGATCTACCATTGATTAATATTTAAAAAAAAATGTTTACATCAATTTTTTTTTGGGGCAAATAATTCTTTGTTATACAGATATTCCTTGTGAAATCGAGACACTAGTGTATAAGAACACTTCAACAATAATCCCTCCAAAGGCGATATGACAGTGCAGGTAAAAGAAGAAAAATGTCAAATCTGCAATTTACAAACAACATGTTCAATCAAAGTGGTTACAGAATTATAAATCTTGAAACTATTAAGGAAATATTGCAGAATAAACTTGCCATGATGAAATCATTTCATTAAATTTCCATTCATCTTACCATATTATAATCAGGTAACCATATTAGGACATCATAACATGTCCTTTAATTTAAGCAAAATTAACACCTTTGCTGATATTTGTGACTGTCAATTGCAGTCAGTTATTACAAATGGACAGATCATACATATTTAACAGCTTCTTATTAATTATATATAAAATTTATAACTTAAGATCTTCAAATTCTATCCTTTCACAAAAGGACAAGTCGAAAATATACAAATGGAGCATAGGTCAATCTTGAAGATCCATATTTGATATCAAATTCACTATTTCTTTTGAGTGCATATCAAACTTAATTTTAGACATCGTGTAACAGAATAAAAAATATTGAAAATCTCTATTTCAGAATCTTACAATATTCTGGATAATTTAAAAAAAAACCATGCACCAAAATTTGATTTTTTACAAAATGGATAATCAGTTAATAGTGTAACATTACTTTTCTTTGATGCAAGAACAATAAATTAAACCAAAGTCCTTCATATTGTCTAAAACAGATTAAACAAATAGTTTTCTCCCTCTTGATATTACACTGACAGATAATTGATCAAATATCACACTTATAAATTCTTTTGAATTGGACGGAGTCAACAGTTTCCATGATATGATGATTGCAAACCAGTGTGAAGTATTCAATGTGTTAATATCACAGTCTGTAAAAATATATCTACATTTCCATAGGCACCGATTGTTGCGATACATCACTGATTGATCCGAGGAGTTCTTGTACACGGCCGACTCGAGCAGCTAATAACGTTGCATCCATTGTTGCCTACAACAACAAAAAATTGTAAGCAAAAGAATCTGATTCCATAAAGCATACATTTTTACTTTCTGATGCCAGTTTATAATCATACAACAAGATTTGGAGTCCAATTTTTTATATTCTGTTAGATACTATGTAATAGTTTAAAACAGATATTTATACAAAACAGGAACATAAAAGAATTATCATTCAAATACTATGAAATTCAATTTAAAGTCAATGGTTTATAAAATTCTAGTGTGTATAAATTTAGGTCAAGTTCAACTCCAAAATACAGGAAAATACATTTTTGCATTTGCCAGATTTTACATGAGATTTTTTCTTTTTATATAAAAAGGAAGCTTCAGTCCAAGTGTTATGAAGTTCTATACAGATGTAATGACTTCAAGAAGAAGTATCTGGGCAATTGTCATAAAATTCTACATATGCTTAAAACTGTATTCAAGCTGTTGAAATCATTAATATTAGACTTAACTATTTGACAATCACAATGCAAACAACCATGGCATTTAAGGATAAGATCCCAGTGTATTGCCTTATTGATACCCTTTGCAACTTTTATCTCAGGTATAACAAAAAAGAAAAAAAGAGTAAATAATTATCACCATTAAAACTAGATACATTATGTTTTCAACAGATAAAGAAGAGTTTAGTTACATATTGAATGACAAATACTAAACAGCTATACATTAACTATTTATCTAAAAGGGTCAATCATTGCAAATCTGACTTTTCCAATTATACTAGTTTTATATAGTTAATTTTTCCCCATTGATCATTACTATCAACTCAAAATTAAAATAAGGATAAGTATTAAACCAAAAGTCATCAGTGTACCAAATTCAGTGTCATATAAAGCAATAGGAAAACAACAGTGGTAGTGTCAGACTCAAAACTTGTTAAAGGAAGACTTTTAAAAATAAAACTAAGTGTATTAGGAGTTTGACTGCAAGTTTTAGAATTCATACCTTCGTCCTAAAGAAAAAAATAAAGCAAAAGATGAAATTTTTCTTCATTCATGATATTTTTCTTAAAATGCTTACTGGAAATTGGATATGATAAAAATACAGACAAGTTTTTGAAAGTTTTACTGCCCTGAGACTCTGGTTGAGATAAGCTTTATGCAATTCATCAAAATTTTATATGTTTTAAAATTTATTTTTTCATGAACTCCTGTAATATCCTGCATATGTTAATTGGAACAAGAACATAATTCCAACTCTGCAATTCTTAAATTGTATGCATGCAACTCTATAATTTTGATATTCCAACTTTGCAACTCTTAATTTGTAACAGTGCAACTTGACAATTGAATGTCTGAGAATTGCAACTCCAACTTTGCAACTCTGCAACTATGTTAATCAAAATTCTAGTTTTGATTTTCAGTACTTGCTACATGGTACATTTGTGATATGTACTTTTGTAATTTGTTATTTTGTAAATTTGTGATATGTATATTTGTATTTCGAAATTTGTAATATGTCAATTGGCATCTTGCATTTATGGTATCTGAAAAGTGTATTCTTCAGTTGTAGAATATATACCATATAGCAAGTATTGAAAATCAAAATTAGAATTATGAATTACATATTTGCATAGTTGCAATTCTCAGACATTCAACTGTCGATTTAAAAAAAAAAGATCAACAATGAATCCAGCTTATGGAGGTTAAATAGGAGATAACAGTAGTTAATTGATGTTCAAATTTCTAAAAAGATACAAAAGCTGAGAGAATTGCATGAACTCCTAACTGAATAAGACTGGGTGTAACTCTTGTTATGTTTGCAATGAAAATCCAGACATTGTCAGAATGTCACTATGACAAATAGGACACAATCAGTATATTTACAGATCAGCCAAACAATAAAATATACTTATAAAGTTAGGTTCCAATTAGCTGCACTGCATGTGGGTTAGCTGTATAAGCTTTTCAAAACTTCCTGTCCAACACAAGAGGATCCTCATTGAATTATTTCTACAATTTTTGGCTAAAATGTCTGGCCAAACTAGTTTGTAAATAGTTTTCAATAAGTAATTGTTTACCATGATTGAGTGATATTATACAACTCCTCACTAAATAGTTAATGAATAGGTTTCAAAATTAGTATAGGTGGCACAACAAGGGGCTAAAGGATTTTTTTACCTTTTTAAACGTCATTTTTTGGCGTTTACATCTGTAATGTATTAGTTATCTATTAGTGTAATTCCCTTATTTCTGCATCTCTAATTATGCCCAATATTTACCCTCATCTTTCTGGCTGCATTGAATTCTTTGATCTTATTCTGAGCTTCCGCCATATGTTCATTCTTAGCTGCCGACCCTTTAACCCATGGATGTTGTAATGCTTGATCTGCTGTTATTCTTTTCTTAGGATCAAGTTGTAGCATTTTACTTATTAAATCCTGTATAAAAATATGGAGAATTTGACATGTTATGTTAAAATTGTGCACCCTTCAACATAATTACATTTGCATAATAAGTTTCTAAGTCTACAAACCTCTGAACCTTAATTATACTTAAAATGATTTTTCAATAACAAAAAATACCTTTAATTCAATAAATTACCTTCTACTCTTACTATTTTACACTTTCTTTATAAGTTTTAGACTTTAGGGGTTACTAAGCCTCTCATCATATTTTGTCTATTTATATATTTGAAAGAAAAAAGTGTTAATTGCAATGCTTCTCAAGAGTGGTCACTCATACAATCCATTTGATTAAAAATTTGTATCTTCATTTGATTATTTGTTTCTGACCAGGACTGTCACAAAATAGCAGAATTGGATCTAAAAGGTTAATCTTTCAAACTAATTGATAGTCTTAGGAAAAACAAGTAATCAGCAAATAAACAATTTCAAAATGCCAATTAAAGGAAAGAATGGTGCAAGTTAAGTAACAGTGTAATTATTACTATAAATTCAGAAAATTTTGGGATATTTTAATCATTTCACAATAAATGAAAATCCTCAATTAAATTTTGATACATTTTTTTGGAGTATTAGTTGTAAGCAGCATTACCTAAATGCACAATATGATTATCTCACTTATTTGTCTATTGTTTCTGAATTTACAATGTGATATCTAACCTTAGCATTCCATGAAATACTGTCCCAGAATGGGGAATCAAAATGGTAATCTCCTTTCAATATTCTTTTATATACTTCTCTTTCTGATTCTTCATAAAATGGTTCATATCCACATAACCTGAAAAGGAGAGTTAAAAAAAAATTTCAAATTATACTTGAAAACCTGAATGAGACAATTCTTATCCTTGAAAAACGATGCAACACTTTAAAAACACTACGGGTTGAAAGCATTTTTTTCTGGATTTACCAGCACCAGGAACACATCCTCACCAGGAGCGTTTGACATAGAAGCTGCACTGTATAGGTGGATATAAAGGTCTTCAATCTTCGCTTCAATTAGTAGTTTTGTTTATTTGATATAGAAGAACGGCTTAAGTGTCATGAAGTTGTCAAAATCTTCTTTTTTTTTAAGGTCCAACCAACATTTGTTGTTGCAACATATTTTCCTATAACACATTTTGTTTTGTGTCTCCTGTATGTTTAGTCTCAATTGTAATTGACAAACAAATTATTAAATATATTTGTAAGCTTTCAAAAGGCTGAGGAAACACACATATATAGGACATGTATGATGTTTAGAGAACTGTGAAATCAGGATCTAAACCCTGTTGTATAGCATTTTATTTAAAAAGTTAACATTATAATGAACATGTGTACTAAGTTCTCAGTTGATGTGATTACAACTTCATGTTAAACAACCATAACCAAAAACTTTAACCTGAGAATTCACTGATTTCTCATTTTCGCATTTCCATGGACATGAACCTAGATATCAGGGTCAAAACAGTAATTTGGTATATAATTTTAAAAGTTCACACCATACATAATGTGTACTAAATTTCAAGTTGATGTGACCACAACTTCATGGTAAACAACCTTAACTTATAACGGGACAGACAGACAGATGTACACACCAGAAAACATATACTTCTACTATTACAGACGGGGTATAAAAGTTGCAAAAGCATCATAGATGCATATTCTGAGTTGTGATCTTTATTTGATCTGCAGCAGAAGAAACAGATTTTTATGTAGAGTACATCAAAGACTTTTTAATAAAAGCTGGACATGCAGGTCAAAAGATTACATTTGGAAACAAAACTTTTGCTAAATTTCAGTCTATAAATAGCTGCAGTGACTTTTATCTTTTACCTTTAAGGGGCACTAGCTACGAGATAAATAAAAAAATCTAATATATGACTTTTTTTGTTCAATCATTTATGAAAGTGAAATAGTGAAATAATTATTTGCTTTTAGCCGCCAGTATGGTTCAATTTTGTCAAAATAAGCTAAGAAACATCGATGATGAATTATTCACTTGGAAGTGAATAATTCGACCTCATTGAATCTGTATTCATGTGAACTTCAATTTAACCCCTTAGCTAGAGATGGATAACACGTGAATTGTATGTGTAAAGTTATTTAAAGGAAAAGAATGTCAACATTGAAAGTGAAACAAAGGTAAATCATTTGATTGACTGATCCAATCCACAAAAAATCATTCTTATACAGGTAAAACAGATGATAAACATATATTTTTAATCTATAATATGAAATTAAACAGACCTAGACAAATCCAATAGCATGAGTTCGCTTAATCTATTTATATCTTTATTTATGTTTACATTGCTTATATGGTCATCAGATGACTTTGGAGGTCAACTCGATAGTTAATTAGATGGCGTCTAGACTAAAATACACACAAAACGAAGCTACATGTTATCATGCCCATGTCCTGTTAACTGTTTATTTTAGACTTGTAATAGTTTGGATAAATGTTTTACATTGTTATAAATCAAATATGAGAATTTGAGTCAAATCGGTGAACATGAATTTGACAGCTAGTGTCCCTTTAAGAACCAAAAATCAGTGTCATCCAAATCAAAAGCCACATTTTCACACTAAGTTTGGTTTAAGTTGTACATGTGGTTCAAAAGATAATATTCATCTATCAATAGCTGCTATGACATTGACCTTTGACCTATTGACCCGAATAGGGGTCGTCAAACCAACTTTGGTAAAGTTGAACATGTGTTTCAACAGATAATGTCATGAAACCAAAATTTTGCAAACATTTTAGTCTATTTACTTTTACTGTGATCATGACCTTTGACCCAAAGGTCTTCATCTTACCATGTGGAATTACAAGTTTGGTAAAGATACTCCAACTGGCAAAAATTAATTGGTCCTGAAACCTATTGACAACTGAATATTTTTATGGCATTCATATTATAACCTGAGTCTGATTAAGTTGCTACTCAGCAAATAAAATCATAAGAAAAAAGAAAGTGTCATTCATATTTCTTTAACAAAAATAATATGTAACTTACAAGATATATGTAATAACTCCACAACTCCAAATATCTACTGCTGGTGTGTATTTCTTTCCTGCCAATACTTCTGGTGCTGAAATTTTATGAACTAATGTTTAAATCTAAAATCTTTATCAGAACATATATATTACCATAAATGAATAGATACATATTTATTTATGTAATAATGTTTCATAGATATCCTGTCTACTGAAAATTAGTATGTAAAGAAGGAACTTCCTTTTTCTTATGCTACATAAAAGCTCAATATTCTCCTTTATCTCCTTATGGAAAGATTTTACGCTTGTTAGGAATGGCAAAATGCAATATTTTCCTATTATGCAAATGAAATGAATAGTAATGGTTAAAAAAAGTTTCTCAGGAAAAAACTGGTTGTGTAATGAAAAGTTTCATACTCCTGTGAACAGTACATACCACAGTAACCTGGGGTTCCACAAACTGTATTCATCTGTACTTCATGGTCCAATATTTTAGATAATCCAAAGTCAGCTGTAAATTTTAAATTTAATACAAAATAATTTTTAATGCATGAAAAATAAAATATAATCATTGAAATTCATAGCAATTAAATAAAACATTAGTGTCCCAGCAATAAAACGGTTAAAATTTTATATATATATATTTATTAAACAAGAATACCAGTAAGTGTCCATAGGGCACTATGCTCCTCATGCACTAACCATTCCTTGTTCAGTCAAAGAGAAATTGTGTGCTAAACTTTTTAGTTAATGTGCCCACAACTTAATGGTTAACTCTCTTAAACCAAAACTTTAACCTCTCTTAAACCAAAACTTTAACTTCTCTTAAACCAAAACTTTGACCTCTCTTAAACCAAAACTTTGACATCTCTTAAACCAAAACTTTAACCTCTCTTAAACCAAAACTTTGACCTCTCTTAAACCAAAACTTTGACATCTCTTAAACCAAAACTTTAACCTCTCTTAAACCAAAACTTTGACATCTCTTAAACCAAAACTTTAATCTCTCTTAAACCAAAACTTTGACATCTCTTAAACCAAAACTTTAACCTCTTTTAAACCAAAACTTTAACCTCTTAAACCAAAACTTTGACCTGCTCAAGCTCGGATAGGTATACCAGAAATCTTGGTCAAAACCTAATTTGACATATATCTTAATAATTTCACATCATAATAAATATGTGATCCTAGTTACAAGTTTATGTGACCACAACTAAATGGTAAACTTGAGTCAAAGCTTTATCCTGATTACATGTAGAAAAATCAAACAGACACATAGACATGAAAACATCACAACCCCTACTTTCTTAGAAGGGGCACAAATATTGCATCCCAGGTAATTTTCAAGCTAAAAAATTATTTCTGAACCTATCCTGAACTTTGAAATTAAAATTAAAACAGTAACAAGATTACTTTGGTTGCGTTCTAAACATACCCCCAATTCAAAGTATTGGAGAACAGAAAGCATGAGTCTGACAGACCAAGAAAATTCTTAAACATAACAACTCATTATGTCAAACTGCTGACTAAATATGAAGTCATTTGTTCAGTAGTACCTAAGAAAAGTGTGACAGAAATATTTGTTGGACAAACAGACAGACAAGACAGATGGACAAGGTGAAGGCAATATTTTACATACCAACTTTGAGAGCTGAGTCTTCTCTGAGATCTTCATATAATAAATTTTCAGGCTGAAAAAGACAGTTAATTACCAATCAGTCTTAATTATGAATGATCCTTATCACCAGAAAATGTATTGTATTTTATATTACACACATGATATAGCAGGGGTTAGCAAAGTTGAAAAAGACATGTCAACTTTCACCAAAAATTTAAGTTGTTAGTTAATGTACTTATTGAACAATAAAAGTAACCAAAATAAATCCTGAAAAAACATTTATTTTGTTAGTTTTTATTTATAGTTCCAAGGGTGGTCATGATCTCATTTCTTTTTCAAACCCTAAATACTTTGCTTCATTTGAATGAATTTGATTCTTCTATTTTCATTAATTGAAGAAATAAATTAAATGTACCATAGATACAGTATAAAGCATCTGAAGCTACAAAAATAAACTTTCTATTTCCATTGTGTTATTTTTTTTTCAAATTTGTTTAGCATTGTTGGGGTTTTTATAGCTTACTGTATGGTACAGGTTTTGCTCATTGTTGAAGGTTTCAATTTGGACTCTGCATAGTTGTCTCATTGGCAATCATATCACATCTCCTGACTTATATATTTCTATTCAGAGCAATTTCATATAACGAAAGAAATACAAGCGTTGGTAAATAATGAATAAAATGCACAGAACCTGTGTAAAATACAAACTTATTCTGGCATGAAATCATTCCAACAATACAAGACAAACTGCCACAACATAATAAGGTCTTAACTATATTATATTTAGATACTTATGTGTAGAAACAAAGTAACAAAGTTGGGTTAAGTTTTAACAAAAAGGAGAATATGTGATTTTTTTCACTCACTCTGTGATAAAGTCAGAACTGTTTAAACTGGAAATAATGTGTACAGTTGCATTAAACTGAAACTTTTTAAAAAAAATGTTATAATTTCATTGCTTGCCACACAATATCAGAAAAAATCTTATTGATCTAAAATTTACAGGTTCAAAATCAAGATTTCAGTACTTTTTTATGGTACATGTATGAAACAACATTTTTTCACCACTTTTTATAAAAAAACAAAATTTTTTTTTTGCTGTGAAACATCAGATAAGATAAAAGATCAAATTCTTGATTCTAATATCTAAGGTTCCTTCCATCAATCACCTGTGTCTTCTTACCTTTAAATCTCTGTGCACCACTCCATTCTGATGAAGATACTGAAAAAGACAATGTTATAAATGTTAGTAGGTGAATAAGCTAAATATCAAACATCAAAAATTAAACACCTGCAAATTTCCTACAATTTTGTTTGTTTTTTTCTGAATTTTGACCACAATGAAAAGTATGCACAAGATGATTCAGTAGAAATAACTCTTGCCCATGATTTTTCACGTTAAATTGCACAAATTGTGCTGGATTCAAACTAAAATACCTCTCTGTATACACATTAGATAGTTGACAGGATCATTAATAAGTGTGTGATCACATCTACAAAGATGACTTTTAACAAAACCATATTACACACGACGTTTCTTAATAATGAAAAAAGGCTAAAAAGAACAATTCAGTTGTTAAATTCCACTGCTCTACGATGGCTACATAAATGCCTGATTGCCTATCCCAGTCGATGAAAAATCAACCAACCAGAATTAACCATTGATTTACCTATCTCGATAAAATTGAGCGGCAAACTGATTGGCTTTCTCTCCGAGGACCCAATAAAAAATTCAGTTGTATCATGTTTGAATTAAATAGAGTTCAGGTGCTTGCAAGTAGGAGAGATCAATTATGAAGGCACATAAATAATTTTTATGTGTTAGGGCTATTCTTTTATAATTTAATTTTGGATGTAACACGTCTTCTGATTGGCTGACGTTGTTTTGTTTATCAGCCCATAGACATAATTTTGTCTACTTTTTCATGGTTTACTCCGGTTTAAATGAAATTTAGAATTAAATTATAAGAAATGACTAATATTTTTTCTGTCTATTCGAAATAACATAAAAAATGTGGTGTACACTTTAAAATAACCCGCTACGCGGGTTATTCAGTGTGCACCACATTTTTTATGTTATTTCAAATAGACAGAAAAAATATTGCAGTCATTCCTTTGATATCTTACCTGTACAGCAATAAGTGTCTGTTTTACAGCAGCAGCTGCATCTTTCTCAGAGTAAAATCCTCTTGTTACTATCCTAAAAACATACTCAAATATGTTAGCAATCAATCCTCAGTCACTATCCTATAAACATACTCAAATATGTTAACAATCAATCCTCAGTCACAATCCTAAAAACATACTTAAATATGTTAACAATCAATCCTCAGTCACTATCCTAAAAACATACTCAAATATGTTAACAATCAATTCTCAGTCACTATCCTAAAAACATACTCAAATATGTTAACAATCAATCCTCAGTCACTATCCTAAAAATACTCAAATATGCTAACAAATATCTGATTTCTATTGCATATATATCAGTTAATTATATAAAATAGAGTATGTTTTATACATAGAGAATATGGATAAATGAAGTCTCTCAATCTATTGATCACCTAGGTCTATGGCCCAATCAACAATGGTTAACCTTAAACAATACTAGTCAAATTATTCAATCTGGGAGGGCAATCATCATGCAGCAATAAAAACCTTTCTCAAAAATGAAAGTACTCTTTAGGTCAAAGGATCAGTGAATAAACATTTTTTTAAATTAAAATATTTGTCAATGACATATAATCACTCTTAAGAACTACAACAATTATGTTCATCATATTTATTAAAAGTATTTTAATCAAATTCAAATTATGCTTTAGAAATTACTATTTATAAATTTCAAAAGCTAGAAATAAGGTCTCATCATAGATGCTTTGTATCAAAATGCAAATAAAATTCAACTCTTTTTTATCCCAAACTTGCAAATTTTTTCGATACTGAAGTACATGCACTCATGATCAGTATATGATATATTTTAACCAGTCTTTTTCATTTTACACCTATGGTTAAACTAATCTGGCTTCCAATACCTGTCAAACAGTTCACCTCCTTTCACTAGCTCTAACACCAGATATATGTGCTGGGGTGTTTCATATATTTCTTTAAGTCTAATCTAAAATGCAAATAACATATAAATTATAGAAAATATATATCACATACTTGGATCAAAGGAATTGAGGTAACCAGTGTTCATCTCTTTGAATATATCATTGATTCCTCATTCAACTGATGTAGAAGTGTACAGAATGTACTGTTAGTTAATTCATGTTTGTAATTTTTTTTTATTTCGATGAAAACAAAATGTGTGATTCGTCTTGTCATCTCCAAAAAAATATAAGCAGAAATGGCTAGGTCAATGTTTTTGGTATGGGAAACATCAAAAATCACTCAAATCAAAAATTAAAATAGCAGGTGCACAACTTCACGTCCTGTAGAAGAAATTGTGCTGTTTTAGCAGAAATTGATTCAATCATTTTTCACGAATTACGGATTAACATAAAGTGTGGTGCCAACACAATGCAGAATCAATCTAAAGGATAGAAGTGATCCCTAAAAAGTATATGTCCCTATAGCTTTGATGTCAGGTAAGACAAAAAAAGTAATATCTTATTGCACTTATGTTCTAATTTCAAAATCATGTGTTAATTTTGTTAGTCTCTATTGGATAATTTATAAGCAACAGAAAAGCATTTTGACGATGCATACAAGCACATTGAACAAAAGTGTTGACAGAGACCTGTAATTGGGATACACATCAGTTTTCTACATATGCATGTAGCCTGGGTTTAATGGCAAAGGGGCACAATTTTAAAATGAAGGGCAACTTAGGAGAGGTTTCATGTTTTAAAAGGACAACTTGATCATGTTCATAGATAATAAATTGAAAAAATTGAATATATAAACATATTTTTGGTGGAATTATAGTATTTTGGGGTTGGAAAAGCTCTTTCCATTTTTAGCATTAAAAAGCAGATATCTTTCTTCAGAAAACAAAATTGCTCATGGCAGGGCTTTAAGGTCATTAGCTAGGACAATGAATATTATCTATTGGTCCATTTCATATGTACAATGAAAGCAAGCAATGCAATCACCAATATTTTACTTTTGAACAAAGCATTGATAGAAGTGAGTTGCAAGAAATTTTAAAGAATTTGTCACAATGTCATTAAATGTTTACATACCACATTTGGATGATTTAATTTCAACAAAACACCAATTTCTGTATTGATTACTTTGAAGTCAACCTATAATTATAAATTTCAATACATTAAGAATATTTGATATACATGTAAGGTATAGAAATAAAACTCATCAAAGATACCTGGCTTATATTTGTATACGCCAGACTCACGTTTCTTCTACAAAAAAGTGTTCTTCAACTTTGTACTTTATTTGGCCTTTTAACTTTTTTTAATCTTGACCTCAATTTTGTAATCAATAACAACATAATTTAAAAATGTTAAAAGCATTGGACAAACAGTTCACAAGTTATTGCACAGAAATGACATAACTATAAGAATAAGGAGATGTGGTATGATCGCATATGAGACAAAAATCCACCAAAGTTCAAATGAAGTGGATGTAAGCAATGTCCATTTTCCAATCAATCAAAGTTACTAAAAGACCATAATTCCAGAAAGGCAAAAGTGAAAATTATCAACACTGTACTTTACCTCAATTTTTCTATCAGTAACAACATATAAACATTTGAAGAGTATTGGTTGAATGGTTCATATGTCCACCCACTGTACAACCTCAAATTAAAAACTGGAGCTCTATCTGAAAACCCAGTTATTAAATAACTTAAAATTTTATAATTCCTTATAGTATGGATTTTCTTGCTGTGTTGAAGACCCATTGGTGGCCTTGGGCTATTTTCTGTTCTTTGGTCGGGTTGTTGTCTCTTTGACACATTCCCCGTTTCCATTCTCAATTTTACATTTTTGTATTCAAAACTTTTTTTAAAACATACAAATGTATTAATCCTAAATGCATACACACTTTCAACCAAATGAAACTTATTGAGCCCATATAACTCACTACACATACATTGTAATTATAATCATCAAACCTTTGTACAATCTTCTGTTTTACTTACCCGTTTATTTATTATTTTGACAGCCCAAGCCTTACTTGTTCCTTTATCATTACACTTGTGCACTACAGAAGTAGCTCCTCTGAAAACATATAAAATTGGAATGAATGCACTATATATGTACAATGTACATGTACACATGTGTGTTCTTAATCAGTCAATTCAAAAATATCTTGTTACATGTATTGAAGTGCCTATAATTATGTCTACCATCTCTTTATTCTTTTCACCATGCATATGTTAGCAAATATGCAGAAATTCTTGGAAGTAGTTTCATTTTCACAGTTATTTCAAACAGTTAGACCTCTCCAAGTAGAATATACTAGTAGCAACTTCATTTATTTTATTTATAAGCTTGCAGCAAGCTTATAAATAAAATGGAAGGTCAGATATCAATGTAAGTCTGAATATTACAACCTGGATATCTACCATCTAAGATTGTCATGTTGTACAAAACACAGCTTTATCAATTGAATGGAACAGAAAAGATATCGTACATCAACGTAACATGTACATGTCGTACATACATGTATACATGTTTATTACTTCAGGACATTACAAAAAAAAAATTTAAGACCATGCGCCAGATAATGAGGGCAACTCATAACAGTCAAGCAAACATGTTAAAGGTAATCAAAAGAACTGTTCATTAGACATTTCCATTGCTATGAGTTAAATCTGACTGCTTAAGATATGGATTTTTAATACAAGTTTACAAATTAATTGGGTCTAGTTTGATACAATTAACAGCTAGCAGCTCAAATGGATATTTCAACTATTGTAATTGTTGTCATTTATCAAATTATCCATGTGAAGTTATTGTATAACTTCTCACAAGGTTATTAGGTATCAGATCGTCAATCTCCTTTGAAGTCAATATTCATCTATGGAAAAGGTCAACAGTCAATCATTTCTACACAAGAAAAGATCTTGCTGCATGATAAAATACATAAATGCAAAAATCATGCTAATAAAAAGAAAAAAAAGCTTATAATCTCATAAACAATAAGAAAAATAGAAGAGATATGACACTATTTCTACAGAAAAAAAAACATGTATGCAAAAAACAACAGAGGCTATTGAAATGATTTAGATCACAGTCGCCTGAAGATTTCATAATTAGCAAAAAAATGGGGGAAATAAAATATTTTTAGCAGTAAAAATATTTTATTTCCCCCATTTTTTCGCTATAATTATGAAATCTTCAGGCTACTGTGTTTAGATGTATAACAGTCTCACACTTAATCATGTAAAACAACCATGGAGATTTTCAAAAGTTGTCAGACTTGTATAAATTGTCTATATCCCATTAATTGGAAACCAGATATTGTAATCCTATTAAATGGAAGTTTTCAGTTGTTCCCATACTGGAAATATATGAAATATTAGCCATTTCACTTTAAAATCAAGTTGGAACTAGAAAAATAATTCCAATGTCCCCCTTTTCCTCTGTCATCACGATCATTGACAACAGTTTATACATTCGGATAAAAAGTTATCGTTGGTCATACTTATAGGTTTTTTTCATGAACATGTCGGAGTTTATAGCTTAGTTTACCACAAAAACACAAAATTGAGGGCAAAAATATTTATCAAGCCTTCAAGGGAGGTAATCGTTAGATGTAAATAATGCGGTAACTAACGTTCTTCACGGGCACCTTGTATCCGTTAGAAAACATACTTCCCCAATTCTGTCAGGATTTCATATTTTTCCTCGAACGATACTTCTTTAATACTTTCTGGTATCCAATATTCTTGTTTTTTTTCTGGCATCTTGATCAGAATTTCAGAAAGCTTCCTTCTGTTGCGATGCTATCAACAAGATAATCACGTGGATACTAAACAAGTTCCGAATGGAAAAAGAAAAAATCGCGGGAAATATAAAATGTGTAAAAGTGCTAAAAAGGACGTATTAAATAGTCATTGTTGAAGGTCGTACGGTGGCCTATAATTGCTTAAATCCAAGACATTTGGACTCTTAAGATAGTTGTCTCATTGGCAATCATACCACATCTTCGTATTTTATACTCAACGGGGAGTTTTGCAATGTGTTTAAATAACTTGGACCAAAATATCGTCCTCCAGCTAAAAAAGATTGAAAACAGTGTCGTCAGGTCACAAAAGACGATCTTTCCTCGTATTGTAAAAATTGGTGTAAACGGGAAAAATCTGATAAAAAAATCTCTTGATTCTTATTTAAATAAATGTATGAATGTTGTGGATATTCGAATATCACATTTTGAAAATGATCAGAAATAAATAAAAGAGTACATAATACGCCTATTTCTAGAATAAGAAATAAACTTCAAGAACTTTCAGTTTTCTATTGTTGTTATAAGGCATTTTTTTTAAATTTTCAAACAGGATAACAAATCAAAGAAAGCCAGACAATGCTGTGGTCAAAAGAAAAATTACAAAACTTGATACTTTTGCTTTAAATAATACTATATATTTCATTATAAATAAATTTAGATATATACTATTCCTTGATAAACCAGACACATATAATTATTGTATTAATACTGATCGTACCTTAGGTATCATGCCTAAACATTCTGCTTTCTATTACCAATATGCTACATTGTAGTGCTTCATATGTATTACATTTAATTTATGTCTTCGTTTTATAAAAAGCCTATTGTCATGAACATGATGCATGAAATATTTGCCACTGGACGTTAAGCAATCAACAGTCAATCAATCAATTTAAAAAGCCGACTCCAATGATAGCTTATTTATCTAATTTATTATTTACAATTATATACACCAGTCCACAAATATGCACGGTACACAGATTTTTATTTCTTACTAATCTCCACTTATTTTCTTTTAATTTTTGTGTTCTTTCTCCTATTCACACGAGTTTTTAAATAAACACCGGTACAATAACATAAATTTTATGTTATTGCACCGGCTAGTTAACTTTCGTGTTTATTGCCGAAGTTTACCAAACGTGACCTATATATATCATGAAAGAAATCAACACAGAACGTGAAAAAATAAGTGAAATGATAGACATGCAATAGAGCGATGTTTAATTTTTGTATTTTTCCCATGCGTTTTTCATTTGTTAATTGTATTTTGTCATAACAGTTGTTAAATGATTTGGTGTATTAACATATTTCATCTTTCAGAATCAATTAACACTATCTAGCTTCCACGTTTGCTAACCTTTTATTTCATCACGGTTTTCAAGGCCCTCGCACTTAAAGCAGAGCTACATGATATGCGATTACCGAATTACAAACGAGAGGTCTCGTGATTATTGTCACTGCATACGAAAAAGTCATCGGCCAATTTGAGAACGGTCTGGAGATTTTCACTGATAAGATAAAGGATTTTCTTTTAAAAGAAAGTCCACGTACACGTGTTTTATATAAACTTGGCCATTGAAGTATATAAAATATAATCCTTTTTATCCAGTAAATATTTTCACGCCGTATATAGTTTATCCGTAGCCTGACTGATAAAAAAAAATAAAGGCACTGGCTACGGTTACATTGAAATGTAACAATAATAAAAAAGTTATTGTTACATTGGAGACTAATTGCCGGAATGCAGGGTTGGGTAAGGAACCGATTAATTACGAATGTAACAATAATATTTGTGTCTACGGTTAAATTGTGTTATTGTTACATTAATGCACTTCAATGTACGCAAGATTTATTAAACTTAAACCTTCTATTGATGTGTTGCTTAATTCTTCGAAAAGGAATAATCTTATATTATAATTATTATTATTATTATTATTATTATTATTATTATTATTATTATTATTATTATTATTATTATTATTATTATTATTCAACAAATGGTGTTTAAATAGTTTTAAGTATTAAATGTTTTGAAGAAGGTAAATAACTTGATTACAAAAATTTGGGACAGTGAATATTGAGGCAAGCTGAAAAATAAATAATAAACAAGAGTAAAAAAAATTATTATTTTCATGGCACTATTTATTAATACTTGATGAACTGTTCAATAGAGCATGTACCAATAAGAACGAAATTACGATCACAAAATATCTGGACTCTGGAAATGAAAACACTGTTTCCACCTGTTTCAACCTGTCCGAAAATGTTTTATTGATTTTTTTTCAGCCATGCTAAGTTGAATATTGAAATTGGAGGTAAACATAACATCAGAAATGGACGGCAATGAAATTATATTAAAAGACAACATGAAACAACCTCACATGTTTCCAACAAAAATATTGGACGAAAATATAAACATCGCAATTAAGAGTATAAAAATATTTTTCACCTGAAGCATGGCAGACATTGAAAGTTTCTTTAACTTCAAAAAGGGAAAGTGCAGAATGGAATTGTACAGTATGCAATACAGACGTGCACATTGCTGCATCACTCCTTTGTGATGGCTGCTTAATTAGAGTGGTTTCACCAAAAATGCGTCGGACTGAAACATGCTCCCAAAACAACATTACTGGATTTGTCGAAACTGCCATTGAAAATAAAAAAGGATTAAGGAAAAAAATGAGGGTGAAACAAACTGTCCTGTCCCCCAAGTACTTGTGCCTGGAATCCACAAAAATGTCATGGCAAACAATGCACGGGAAACCGACAACGACAAATTTGGATTCCAAACTAGTACCACTATTTGCCCAGATTTATTCCTAGTAAAGGAATACCAAAAATACTAAGATAAAGGATCTCAGAAAGGAAAGTACGGTCGTTCGAAAGTATGAACGTCCCAATTTTGATTTATAAAATCACAGCGGCTTACTTGAATTAACTTCCACCAAATCATTAGAGTAGGGACAATAAGGCCCTTGTTTGGCCCAAATATAAATGCAATTTTAAAAGTTATCATACATATTATTAAATTTGTCCGAACTGGACTAAGGTACAAGGTATTCAGAAAATATAAACAAAGTTCACATTGAACAAGTTACCATGACGAAATTTGCTATTTTGTAAAATTTCTTGATTTTCCTTGTTTTTCATCAAACTTTAAGTATATTTTAGATTGGAAAAGTATGTGCGCACACAAAAACAACTTTGTATTTAGTGAGATTATGCCAATAGTTATAATAAAGCTTCTCTTAAAGTATTTAGTTGTTTCTTGGCTGCGCACGATGTTTCCCAGGGCCGTAGCGTAATGGAGGCAACTGAGGCAAATGCCTCACTTTTGAAACGACGACCAAACTTTAGAAGTGTCATTTTTTTTTTTCAGTTATGTATTTTACATTATCAATATGCGAGTTTCGAGTTTCAAATTATCTACCGGCACACTACATACAGTGTGTCCAGTCTGCAGCAGCGATTGTAGCTTTTATCATAGGCTTTCCACAATGGAAATCACGACGGAAAACTGCATAAATTCTGTATTTTTCATCGTTTTCATGAAAATGGTTCATATTTTGACGTGATCGTGACGTCATCAGATAAAAATCTTATGTTTTTCATTTATATTTCTTGACTTTATGTATTTCTAAACATTATGTGCCAATTTGAAATAGTTGTCAAACATTTTATTTTCTTGGGCAAAAACCGGGCCTTAATACCCCTACTCAATGTGGACCACTTTAAGTGACAGACCCTGTTCGAAATTGACGGACTTCACTTTCGTTTTTTGAAGAGAAAAATAGCTTAAAGTTTTGGTTTTCACCACGATAACTCTCACGACTCTACAGTAAGCTTCCACCAAATCATTTGAAATTAGGAAATAATGTTAGAGACCATTGAACACAGATGCATCGAATTTTGCCAATTTTACTGTTTTTACAGAGTATGCCCCTTGATAAAGCGGGACATAGCAGTATTAATTATAGATATCATGAATATTTGCCACAGGTCAGTCTTGTGACTTAATTCCTGGTGTTCCTTTATATCTGAAAACCCTATAAAACAGTTTCTTGGGGAATACTTAAGATTTGGTCAGTGTGTTAGTAAAATTAAGCAGATTCTTCATTGTAAAATACATGATTGATTGTTGTTTGCTTAACGTCCAGTGGCAACTTATTCGTGCATATTCAAGATGATACACTGAAAGGAGGTTTTTGTTTTTATAAATTAATCATCATGAAATATAGTATACAAATAACACATAGCTGAGAGGGTGATAGAGCAGATTGTTACCCCGAGAAAACATTGTCAACTGAGGCGAAGCCAAGGTTGACAATGTTTTTTCGAGGGGTACCAATCTGTTCTATCACCCTCTCAACTATGTGTTATTTAATTTATTATACTGAATGTCCTATCATTATTGTCTTTTACTGTTGAATAATAAGTAGAAGAAGAAGTATACTTAACAACAAAATTATTTTCATTTACCTGTGTATAATATGACGTAGGTTTCTTCAAAAGTGATGATTTTCTAAAAATTGTTTGACATTTCACAGTGATATCATACTTTAACTTTGTTTAAACCTGTTTATTTACTTTTGACTTTAATTATTTATTCCTTGTAATTTTTTATTAACTATGTATTTGCATTCAGGTGTCACAGGTCAAATTTATTCGTTCATTGTGTGTTAATTTACGTTTTTTGATTGAGTTAAGCCTTCCAATTGATATTTTATAGTGTGTTTTTCTATGTTGTGATGTTATACTATTGTTTCAGAAAAGGGAGAAGGTTTGGTACCATTAAAACGTTTAATCCCGCTGCAAATGTTTGCACCTGTCCTAAGTCAGGAATCTGATTACAGTAGTTGTCGTGACGTCTGTTTATGTAGTTCATATGTTTCTCGTTTCTCGTTTTTATATAGAATAGACCGTTGGTTTTTCCGTTTGAATGGTTTTACACTAGTAATTTTTTGGGGCCCTTTATAGCTTGCTGTTCAGTGTGAGCCAATGCTCCGTGTTGAATGCCGTACCTTGTCCTATAATGGTTTACTTTTATAAATTGTAACTTGGATGGAGAGTTGTCTCATTGGCACTTATACCACATCTTCCTATATCTATTTAACGTATTTTACTATGACGTCACGTACATAACAACGTTACAGGTATTAGAAAAATCAACAGAAGTGAAGCAAGATATTTTTTTATTTTGACAGTCTATAAAAAAGTTCTGAGCCAAAACGTAGAAATTGAGTATTGTTTTTAATTATTTGATCTAAATTCAATTCATTGTCCTTTAAATTATCGATTTTTGATTGGTCTGCACGAGAGGGTGACATTCAAAAAATTGTCTCCCGCTCAGCCATGGGATAGAGTAAATTATCTCCCTCGTATTAGCCAATCAAAATCTGGCATTTTAACGTGAAGTATAATAAATGCATATAGTATACACATTGAATATAATGTCAACGTGTTCACTCAACAAGTTAAAGGTAGAAAATTATCAAAGAGCTGGATAGCTCTGAGGGAAGGATATCATTTGTTTCCATTGATATAACTGTTCTCTTAAAAAAAAAAAAAATTAAACTGCTTATGTATTTTTCATTTGAATCAATATATAGTCTTTCATTTATATAAAAAAATGCTATAAAAGTTGTCAACCTGCTTGGTACAGTATATATGACAAAGATGAACAATATCATTCTTGTCTCTTTGTTCTAAATTTATCTCATTCTTGGCGATTCAAATTCAATCATTTTTTAAAAATTTTGTGAAAGTTCTTATAAATTCAACATACTCAATGTTGAGCATACATTTCTACCAGGCTAAAATCGTCGGTCAATCTGTTCTTTCTCTGGCTTAAGGGGTACTATGCACATAATATTACAATACTGGTTCGTCAATAATGGTCATAGATAAAGAAACTCCTAAAAAAATGAGAAATTTAGATGTTGGTAGAGTATGTGATGAAAAAAAAAGCATGATGACAAACAAATTCTGCTTATTTTTGAATATCTAAAATCAGCAAACAGTAATTTTTAAGAGTAAAGATAATTTCCAAACTTTATTTCAATAACTGTACACAGGGAAACAATTAAATCTTTAAAAAAAATCAAAATATCTCTCTCTCATGTTACACAAGTATGAAAGCTTTTGGGAAAACAGTCTCTGAGTTACAAGCATTAACGTGTTTAGTACATACATTTAGACTTTGGTCCCAAAGGCACATGTGGTAGGGGTCAATAAAACTTATCCTTAACCTTGATGACGAACTTTTATGTAGGAATAATTAAGGATTTCAAATTTCAACTCAATCAACTGATGCTTGAAAATAAATTGTAAGACAATGAATTTAATTAATGAACGATTTAATATAACAAAAATTTTGAAGGGTTCCACGTGTTGTTTCTAAGATTGCTGCTGTCACTGTAAACTTAGACAACTCACCAATTGAATACAGCAAAATAAAACAAAAATAACACTTTTTTCATATGCTATTTCTTTATCATGAAGCAGCTTCTGACAAACTTATTGATGTCTGAAACATTTAACGTATCTATATAGTAACTGCAAACAAAACAAAAAACTAAAAAAACCTTTATCAGTAAAATAAATAAATAAAAAAATGAATAGATTTATACATGTAAATAAAATACAGAACTAGAGGCTATCAAGAGCCTGTGTCGCTCACTGGTATCTACTGTGGTTTTGGAAATCATGTAAAATAAGGTTAAAATCATAATAAATAGTATTAGATACCCTAATAATGATTGAGGCCAAGTTTGGTTTAATTTGGTCCATTAGTTAAATTAAAAGCAGAACATTTAAAAAAAAAGTGTACAAAAATTACCAATAAATTGCAGAAACTGACTTTAAAGGACAATAACTCCAATAAGATGTCAATTGACCATTTTGGTCATGTTGACTTATTTGTAGATCTTTCTTTGCTTGATATTTTTGCTGTTTACAGTATATCTCAATCTATAATGATATTCAAGATAATTAACAAAAACTGCAAAAGGATGCTGTCATGAAAGTCTCCCAAACGAACAACAATTGAATACCCCTCCTCTCTAAAATTTATTTCACCCAGGGCCTGTATAATTCTGGAAATGTTTTTTGGGAACACCCTTCAAAAAAAAATTTAGGCAGGGGGGCATTCATCCAATATAAGTATGCTGAAATAGACGATATAATAATGGTTTATAGTAACTGAATAATTCTGAAAATGGAAAATATCAAGCAGACATTATAAGCACTCTCCCCCCTCCCATGGAAAAAAATCAAGTTATCCCATTGTAGTCTTACAATAGTTACTGAAGACCCGTTATCATTATTTAAATTAGTTTTTTAAGTTGTGACCATTTGAAATTGTTTTTTTTTACAATTTTCCCATAGACTTCTATAGTAAACCCCAATGTTCTATTTTTAGCCATGGCAGCCATGTTGGTTGGATGGCAGGGTCATCGGATACATTTTTCAATCAAGATACCCTATTGAAAATTGTGGCTAAGTTTAATTTTATTTGGCCCAGTAGATTAAGTGGAGAGATTACAAAAATTTACGAAAAATTGTTAAAAATTGACTCTAAAGGGCAATAATTCCTTAAGGGGTCTATTGACAATTTTGGTCATCTTGACTTATTTGTAGATCTTACTTTGCTGAACATTATTGCTGTTTACAGTTTATCTCCATCTGTAATAATATTTAAGATAACCAAAAACTGAAAAATTTGCTTAAAATAACTAATTTAGGGGCAGCAACCCAACAATGGGTTGTCTGATTCGTCTAAAAATTTCAAAGCAGATAGATCTAAACCTGATAAACATTTTTACCCCCGGTTAGATTTACTCTAAATGCTTTAGTTTCAGAGATATAAGCCAAAAATTGCATTTAACCCCCTATATTCTATTTTTAGTCAAGGCGGCCATGTTGGTTGTCAAGCGGGGTCGTTGGACACATTTTTAAAACTAGATACCCCAATAATGATTGTGGCCTAGTTTGGTTAAATTTCGCCCAGTAGTTTCAGAGGAGAAGATTTTGTAAAAGTTAACGGACGACGATGACGGACGACAGATGGTGGACGCCAAGTGATGAGAAAAGCTCACTTGGTCTTTCAGGCCAGGTGAGCTAAAAAGGAAAAAAAAAAAAGATACTTTTTAAATTGTGCTCCTGATACTGTCTTCTAATCATGACAAAGCTTCTGTCCAAGTTTCATAATATTCCATGAAGGACCAAAATATTGAAGTTACAAAAAATACAAAGCTTCTGTCCAAATTTCATAATATTCCATGAAGGACTAAAATATTGAAGTTACAAAAAAATACTTTAACCAAAGATTGAACCTACAGGTTGATGGCGATGGGATGTGGGATCCCTATGTCCCGCTTCCGCGACTCTCTTGTCAGGATCGATAAAAATGACATCAATTTAAGAATCTGTATTACTGATGTCAAATAAACAGTCCTTTTTGTAACCAACAAGCTTGCTGTTGTCACCTATGACCATGGATATGTTCCAATTGTCGCAGCCACAATCGTGTTCTTTTCCCCCCGATTGTGAAACAACCCAATGACACTTATCATCGAATGTGTACTTACCATGAGCAGCATAACAGGTGTCACATGTTAAACAGGATATGCTTTGAACTAGCTGTCAGTAACTGTGAGTACTCTCAGATCTGTACTTAAGTGTCTTTTTAGTTATCGGGATGTATAAATACCCTTCCGTTCTGTGTTTTTATTACTTGTTTTTCTGCTTTGTATCGATCTGATAAGTTAAGCACTTTTTAACTGATTTTTATACTGATAGTTTGTTCATATGTTGTGCTGTTACACCACCTGTCCCAGGTAAGGGGGAGCGTTGGGCACCCTCAAACATGTTTAACCCGCCACATTCTGTATGTGCCTGTCCCAAGTCAGGAGTCTGTAAATCAGTGGTTGTTGTTTGTTACTGTATATCATATTTGCTGTTCGTTTATTGTTTTGTACATAAAACAGACTGTTGGTTTTTTTGTTTGAATCGTAAGGTAACCTATAGTTGTTTACTTCTATGTCATTTAGTCTCTGGTGGAGAGTAGTCTCATTGGCAATCATACCACATCTTCTTATTTTTATATTTTAAATGAGTAACAGTGGATTCATTTAATTTCATGAGTACCAAATTTTGTGGATTGAGGAAAAGTTTTTGGGAATATTTAATTTAATGGTTTTGACAAAGTCAGCATATAAGCATATGGAAAATTTATCTGCTTTGAACATTTAAATTTGTGGTTAACATTATCTAGGATATCCTAAAAAAATGGTATCCCAAGAATATTAATGAATCCTCAGTATTCATGCCATCAACAAAAAATGAATTTCATATATGTTTATTGCCGGGTATGTAGAGATTCAAAACAAAAAACAATGATAACAGTCAAACTTAAAACAAAACAAAAAAATAATAATTATAGTAAATAAATCACTGAAGTTACTGATTAATTCTATACAAATCTCGAGTCCCATTGTTATGATAATAATTATCAAATTGGTACATACATTTCGTACAAATACATATTATCTTTATATTTTTAAAAACAGCCGTTTGTAATTTAGTGGAGCACTAATATTGAGATTTTTGAGGTTTTGTAAATGAGAAAGACCATGCTCTTTAAAAAAATCAATATAATTGAAACAAGCATTCTGTGAGTATTGCATGGCAATACATAGTCCCCTACCGGTTAAACATTCATTGTAATCGAATTCTAACTTGATCTATAACTTGTCATGGTGTAAACTACATAAAAATATCAAGTCAAAATCTTCAAGCATGACAAAAAAGACTGTTGATAACTGATTATTTAAGTGAATTTTCAATGTCCAAAGACCATAACTCTGCACAAAATCATCAGACCAGAACAAAATTCCAACTTGATCTAGCTGTAACTTGTCATGATAAAACTATATACTAATTATCAAATCAATATCTTCAAGAATGACAAACAAACCTACCCCTAAATTCTTCAAACAATTTACCAAAGAAAAGGAAAAAAATCCAAAATGTCATTTTGTCTTTAAAAATTAGTTTAAAAAATGAGTTATTTCCCTTTGAACATAAATCTTCTAATTAATAAGTATTTCATCAAAAATTTAATTCTAGGGAAAGGGCTTTAACTGAACAAAGAGAAAAGCCAAAATCATGAAAATTGAACTTGACCTGTAACTTGTCATGATAAAACAATAAACCAAATATCAAATCAATATCTTCAAGCATGAAGAAAAAAAGTCTGGAAAACTGATTGCCGGACTGACAGATGGACAGGCAGGCGGAGTGCAAACCTAAAGTCCCATTCGTCTTCGTCGGTAGGGGACTAAAAACTTTTATCTAAATCTTAATTCTTGATCATGAGTAAGACCATATCCACTGAATTGTTAATAGTTATGAATAGATACAATAAAATGTCTGTTATAATAGAAAGTCAAAACTGTTATCACTTTACTCATATTGTCTATATATATACGCAGTGTTAACTGCAAGCAAGTTTTGAACACAATAAGTAATTATTTATTTAACACTTGTTTATAAATACTTTTTTCTTTGATTTATATAGTAAAATACAATTAGGATAAAATTTTCAAACCAACAATTTATCAAAGGCCACTATGTATCACTGAGAGTTTCTTCAAACAATGTCTTTAAAAAGTTGTATTATAAACCATTTTATATAACAACAAAAGATTATGATTTGCCCAACAAAAATTCTTATATAAAATAGCAGACAACTTGCTTTTGTGAAAAGAAGGAATATAACCATTGAAAATGGGAAACCATCCAAAAAAAACCTATTTAATACAATAAATGCAAGTAGAAGATGAAAACATATAATTCCTTAGTGTGTCTTGCATGTTATAAACATTCCTACAGTGGTACAAAATGTAATTTATTATATTTTTTGTATTAAATGATGAATTAATACTGCAAACAAATCAAATTAACTGCATGGCAAAAAATATCAATGATAACTATATTTGTAAGGCATTGTCAACTAATAGCACTATTACATATACATGTAGTAACAAAGCAACAAATTTGGTACAGAACACCTAAGGGGATTAACTCTTTAAAAATCAGCTGAATTTTTTAATCACATACTATTAGTAAAGAGAAATCAAGCTTCTCAATGATCAAAATTAGTGTTTGTCAAACTGCTATATATCCAATGAAATTATTCCTGTAAATGGTGTTGTTCAAATATCATGAAATTCTTATATTTTTTTCAACACATTGTTGATGCCACCACTTGGGCAGACGTGGCCACCACCATAGCATGCTTTTGTCTCAACAAAATTGTCATGGCAAGACATTAAGTCAATTAACATGAGTTTTGTAAAACTTATCATACTCAAACCTTGAGAGCGATATACTTACCTTCTTGGTGACATTTTTAAATGATTTACAAAAAAAAAAAAAAAAAATAGATTAAAATTTTTCATTAAATGGACAATTAATTGAAAAGTAGGCTCCGTGTTGAAGGCCGTACTTTGACCTATAATGGTTTACTTTTACAAATTGTGACTTGGATGGAGAGTTGTCTCATTGGCACTCATACCACATCTTCTTATATCTATTAAACAGTCAACAGCAAGCAAACCATTTTCAATGTTAACCAAAGAAATATATATTACATTCACTTTACATTTTAAAGCCTTCAGAATATGTTTCTTACAGGAGGCTAGTTACAAATAAATGCTTTTTCTACACTTTGTTTTTAGTAATTAGCTTCATGTAAAAACTGAAAACATTGCATGATTAAACAGGCAAACAATTTCATATTTTGAATCACTCAGTTATATTCTGTGAAAATAACCTGTAATATTTTGGAGAATTCTCATGCTTTAACCTGTCTAATAGTATTCCCTTAAGGCTACTCCATAAAAATATTTAGAAAACAAAAAAAATTCCATATTTTGAATACACCTTATCGCTATTTGTTCGCTATTACTGGACATCACATAGGTTCCCGTAAAATTTTGACGTCACAATAGAAAATATCTGACGCAACAATGTAAAAGTGATTGTTGCAGGATGTCAAAAGTTCAAGCGGCGCAGATTCTCGGGTCAACCGGCGCAGATTTCTAAATAGCGATAAGGTGTATTGATATGACCCTTAGTCCTCCTGTTTCATTTAACACCAACAAGGAGTATATTCAACTGAAATGAAATTAACTATTGAAGCACCCCTTCCTTCCCCAGAAAAAAATGAATAAAATAAAATTACTTCAAATCATAAATCAACATAGCTAAACCCATCATTATCATATCCATTGTCCTCCACATGTTCATTGTCCTCCTCATGTTCATTGTCCTCCTCATGTTCATTGTCTTCCTCATGTTCATCATCTCCCTGGTGTTCATTATCTAAGTCCATGTCTTTATATACCATATCATCCTGGTGAGGCTCATAAGCTTGACCACCACCGTACTTATTAAAATACCAGCTGTCAGGTTGAGTTCTATAGTAGTCGCGTTCTTCTGCTCGGTGAAAGACCCAATCTGTTTTGGAACTTTCTCTGTATTTCCTTAAATGTTCTCTGTCTTTCATCCTTTTTAGATACCATGACTCATCTCCACAATCTAGATCTTGGCTGAACGGATCACAGTAAGCAAATTCTCCTTGGTTCTTAGTTAAATCTTCCTCAGTTTTATTTTGGCCTGTATTTTCATCACTGGTATAATCTTTCATGTCTTCTTGGTGTTTTCTCTTTTCCTGATCTTTTCTTTTATTTAATGGTTTCTTTTCCTTTGGAATGAGATGACTGCATCCATCATCAAGATGGCAGAATTTCCCCTCTGACCTGCCGTGCAGAACAAAACATGGGCAGCATCCATGATCAGCAGCAGCAAGTTGACGTCTGCCCAATTTTTCTCTGCACTCTGCATCAATATTAGGATCAGAATACGCCATATTTTCAAACCAGGCTTTCTGACAATAAAACCAAGACTTTTCTTCCTCAGATAAAACACTGATCCCTTCATTCTTTTTGAAATCTTGAAAATCTTCCATGATGTCAATAATTTGACCACATGGGAGATCATTCCTAGTACTGATATATTCAACACTTTCAAACAGATTATCTAATTCTCTCTTCAAACGTATGGAACCATGTGTGCTATGTGCTCCTTGATCAAAATCATATGAGTGCTTTTTATGGTCATCAGATTGCTGGTAATCATCATAATCATCTTGATACTTCCTTCTAGAAGTTGAAGCTGTGAACATATCTTGGTCAGAGTCCTCATTCTGTTTTCTATAGCGCTTGTTTTTGCGAGATTTCTTGTATTTTCTTATCCATTTAGCTGATTTCTGAACAATTTTAGCTGCAGCTTTAACTACTTTCTTAGAAACATCATTGACATTCTTTTTTACTGTTTCATAAGTGCTTGCTAAGATGTGATTGACCTTAGGCTCATGCTTTTTCCAAAGGTCACCTGACAGGTTCTTTACCTGAAGAAATAAAGTTTTCACAGATATAAAATAATAAAATGGTCCGCTGGGCGCAGCTTGATATGACCGCAGAGGTCGAACCCTGAACTGTTGGGGCAAGTATGGACACAACATTCAAGCTTGATACAGCACTGAATTTGGATTGTGATTAAATATTTGATACAGCATAGGTTTCTGACACAGAATGAATGTGGTCTAAGAACTTAAAATTTTTTAATTTACCTATTCAAACCATATCATTATTATTTGCTTTTATATATAAATCAGAAATAACCAATTTAAAATGGAAAATTTTATAGAAAAAAAATGAAAAAAAAATCCCCCCTCAAATTTTTTGAACCCCCTTATGATTCATCACCCCCAAACTCAATCCCAGCCTTCCCTTTGATGATTGGTACCTTGCAGTACAATTTCAGAGATATCCGTACACTTGAACACGTTATTGTCTGGAAACTAGAAAAATGCTTGTTTTTTGGCCTCTTTTTGGCCCCAAATTCCTAAACGATTAGGGCAATTACCCCCAAACTCAAACCTAGCTTCCCCTTGGTGATATGGAACCTTGTAGTACAATTACATAAAGATCCATACACTTACACACAAGTTATTGTCCTGAAACTAGAAAAATGCATGTTTTTTTGTCCCTTTTTGTCCCCTAATTCCTAAAATTTTGAGGCAATTACCCCCCAAAATCAATCCCAGCATTCCTTTTGTGGTATGGTACCTTGCAGTACAATTTCAGAGAGATCCATACACTTGAACACAAGTTATTATCATGAAACTGGAAAAATGCTGGTTTTTTACCCCTTTTTTGGCCCCTAATTCCCAAAATTTTGATGCAAATACCCCCAAAATCAATCCCAGCATTCCCTTTATGATTTGGAACCTTGTGGTACAATGTCAGAGAGATCCATACACTAACACACAAGTTATGTTTGGAAGTTACAAAAATGCTTATTTTTTGCCCCTTTTTGGCACCTAATTCCTTAACTGTTGGTACCATAACCCCCAAAATCAATCCCAACCTTCCTTTTGTGGTATTAAACCTTATGGTAAAATTTCATAGAGATCCATTTACTTAAACTAAAGTTAGAGTGCGAAAACCAATGTGTCTTCGGACGACGACGACGACGCCAATGTCATACCAAAATACGACCGCAAAGTATAATAATAAACTTTAACTTGAAAATTAAATCACTATTCAAATTTTCATGATTATTCATCATTGTTTATATTAGATAAATTGTCCTTATTACTGAACCTCCTTCTTTTTAGTTATTGCTAAAATGATGCCAAAATGAAAATCTAACAAAAATTTCATCCAGAAAAATTTGCTCATATACAAATTTATCCAATACAATATAATTTGTGTTATAAGTATACAATTTAAATACCTGTGTGAGAGTCTCCTGTATCTGTTTATTGACCGTCACCATAGAAATTCTAGTCTTATTCAAAATATCATTCATAGCATCAGACCATGATTTATATCCATCATCTTTGTCTGAACTTGATCTTTTCTTTTTTCCATGTGCATGCTCGTTGTCATTCTGAATTTAAATTCAAATATTTAAGTCATTCTTCATCCCCTGTTAAGGTTAATTTGCTTGATTATAGTTGAAATGGTAATGTTGATACTCTAGATCTGAACAACATCAATTATCAGAAAAAACCTTTGATAATTAATCTTAGCATAGTTATCACTTGCATTAAGATTATTCTGTATAATCAAATGATGAAAATACAGAAATTAAAAAAAATATAAAGTATAAGTTAAAATCACTTATATATCAATATATCAATAAACAATTGAGAATTATCATTGTCAACTGATCATTTATCAAGTATTATACTTAAGTATAGAAAGAAAGCAGGAATAAAAATATGTCTTTAAAATTGGAAACCTAACTTCAACAGTTAAACTTTTCATATTCAGATTTCATGTTTGGTAGTAAAATTTTAAACAACTTTATTACATTTTGCTTTTTTCAATTTTTTTCTCATTTCCAAAGCAGCACATGTACATGTACTGCAACTATTAACATCTACCTTATCTTTCTGGAAGTCTTCTTTCTTTTTATTGCCAAATTTAACATTTTCTGTCTTCATCTTTTCGATTTCTTCTTGTGATGTTTTTTCTAGGTCATCAGCTGCTTTTTCCAGTTCGTTAAGTTTACTTTCAAGTTCAGATGCATATTCTTTGCTCTCTTGAAGTTGATTCTTGAGACGATTAACCTCTGTCTGAAGTTGACCTCTTTCCCTCACTAGATTCCCATTTTCTTCCTTATACCTATTTAGTTCCTGTAGATAATTGTCTTTCTGTCTTCCATCTGCATCCAGCCCGGCAATCTTATTATCTAGATCAAATATGTGGTCTTGTAATCTATTGTTCTCTTCTTTTAGCTGTGCAATGACATGGAGATCAGTTGTATCTCCTTCTACATCATATTCACTGCTATGCTTCAACTCCTTCTTTCTTTCATACTGTGATACCTTTAGTTGAAGGACATACATCTGATCTTCAGCTGACAAAAGTTGATTTTCAATGTCACTTATTCGCTTGATTAAGGCAAGATTTTCGTCTTCCAGTTCACTGACCAAATATTTTCTTTTTCCATAATCAATAAGTTCTTTTTTAAGATCAGCATTATCATTCTTCAGATCATTTAGTTTTTGTTCCAGTTTTGAATTATGATACCGCTGGTGTCCATTTTCAGCTCTGAATTTGGTTACATGATGTTGTAACAGATTACCAAATCTATATATATGGCTTTTCAATTCATGGTCCAATTTTTGGAACCTTAAATCCGAGAATTTGTCCTGTAAAAAATAAAAAAACAAAAAATCCAATATTATTTCACTTTCTAATTTTTTATGTAAGGAAAATGTGCTTTTTAAAAACGAAAGTAAAGTTTTTGACAACGTTATTTGCACAAATAAAGAGTCTTAGGCAGAATAAGAACGCTGATGTTGCACACTTCGAATGATTGCACTTTCAATTTAATAGTTTACGTCAGAACATCAAATTTATATCAAAGTAAAGTTAAATATCGTTTTAATGTCAATCAAGTTAAATATCGTTTTAATGTCAATCATTGGTTATATGATGGCCAACTGATTACCATAATTGCCTTTTGTTACTAAGTCTAAAGGGATCAAAATCGGGATAAGATATAAAATGTCCGGCTGGCTAAAATATTTTTTGGAAGCCATGGTATAAACTGTAAATCGGAAAATATTGTGTTAATTAAATGGACAAAAATGTGAGATTAATTATTGAGGTTTCAGGAAAATCTGCAAACAGCTATAAGTATCAGATATCAGAATGAAAGTTCTTTTTATTGCAATATTCACCCAGTTGCATTATTCACATTAAAAAAAAACCTTGAAATAAATTATGAATTTATAGTAACCTAAACTAAAATTTGTCTTTTCATGATCTGTAAATTAATTTATAATTCAGTAATTTTGTTCCAAGAAAGAAAACTCAATTTTTCCTAATATTGAAATATGCTGTCAATGCATCAGAATAACTTCTGACTTTTCTGTGTTTGTTTTCACTGTAGGTCTATTTAAGATAATATGTATTTTACTTGGATAAGTCATTGCACATCATGAGTTGTCTATTCATACAGGTGCATTAAGCTCTGCCTAACAACAACAATCAACACTTTCTTTGTCTCCACTACAGGTGTGCCTAGCTCCACCTTCCCACAGCCTCGTTTCTATTACTTACATGTGCTAGCTCGCATCATGGCAGCATGTCATGTTTGCTTCCCTTATCCCTCCCTCCCAGAAGCATCACTGAGCGTACAATGGGTTATTTTAAAAAAAAAATTTTTTTTTTTTTATATATTTATAGTTTGTTCTTATGTTTAATTGTATGATTGTATACAGGGACATTTCACATGATTGATTTAGGAGTTAAGTAAAGGGGGATTTTAGTTTGGGGTTACCAAGCTCATAAAATTGCCATTCTCATTATTCTTGTTGTTATTATTCCAAGACAGGTAAATACAAAATTCAACAATTCATACTAAAATGAAAAAAAATGCAGTGTTCCCTACAAATCTTTTATGACAACTTGAAGTTTATTGCAGACACAGAAAAATAGTGCATACAATTCTGTTAAAAAATTGGGAAGTACCTAATACAGCTGGTTGGCAATACACAACTTAATTCCAATAATCAGTTGACACAAAGAATGTACAGCCTATGTACATGTGTAATTTTGATAGTACACATATAAAGCAAATGTTGAAATTTAAATGGCAACACTTTAAAATGTAAACTAGGCAAAAGTTTCGATCAGTGAACTATAATTTTACTGAGGGTGCAGGGTCAAAGCATCTCCATGGAAATAACACGCGACTCTCTAATACAACCAAATACTACTGACTTACCATTAGTGAATCTTCTGAAAGTGACCTAATCATAAACTTTAACATATCAATTATGCAAAAGTTTCAAAGTCAATATGGAATATGACAAAGGGCACAGGGCCAATTGATCGCCATAGAAATGAGATATGCTATTTATTATACTACGACCTATCCAATACCATTAGTGGTACCCCTTAAACTGACCTATATATCATGTATTTAGCTAATAAAGAATGTTAACATGTAAACTTTGGGAAAGTTTCAAAGTCAATTGGCCATAACAAAGGGGGCAGGCTAAGTAATTGTCATGGAACTGAGATGTGTCAATGTTTATGTAACTGCATACCAAATAGCAAAGATCCAATCAGAAACTTTAACAATCGTAACAGTGACAGCAACACACCTATCTGGCCTCTGGGACTTTGTGTAGGTTAGACAAAATATGTTCCATATCTGAAACCACAACAAAATAAAACATGGACCACTACTGTGCATTCACCACTGAGTCTTTAAGTTACATTCATTTCTATTTATTCTTTATTTGTTATGGTAGATATAATTTCTGTCTCTTTTATCATACTAAATATAATCACTACAACCTACCATATTATATCCCATATTCGTATACTTCCAATCTGTCTTGTCCTTTATCAATTTATCAGCACTCAATCCCTTCTGCTCGAAATCATCCCAAAGAAGGTTAACAGTTGTTTGGGTTGTATTCTTCAATAGTTCAATATCCTTTAGAGTCTGTTCCATACCATAGGCTTTTAACATTTCAACTTGTCTAGTAACTTTTCCTAGGTCACTGCAACACACTGAATTGTTTCCTACTCCTGCAAAATACACTTAAAATAAACTAAGGATCTCAGAAATGCACATCTGGGAGTGGGGGCTTATCTATCTTATCATAGAAAAGTAAATCCCTCATAAAAAAAATCACAAGTATATGTAGGTACATTAAACTGCTGTTCATTACTGCATTAATGTGTATGACCATTTTTTAGTGTTGAAAATCAGGAAATCAACAGCTTTTCTATGGTTACAGTTCACTTAAAAAGTAATAGCCCTCACCTAGGCCTGTAACTGCTAATTTAGTCTTCTCAAACATTTTATGAATAAAGATGGCTCATTGCAATACATGATGAGATGCAAAATCAGGATCAATTACTGTAAATAATTTTGCTATTGTTGCTGTGGAAAGGCATTTGTGGTACTATACTAAATTGACACAAAGTTAATTGAGATTAGATTATTTATTGATAACAGATAAGTATAAAAGCTTTTAGGTAAATGGTCTTAGAGGAGTAAAGCTCAAAGGTAACATTTATGCTACAATAAGATGAAAATGGTCAAATTTTATAAATCCAGCAAAATGACAGTTCAGTATTATCCAATACACATGAAAAAAAAAATAATCTCACTTGAAGTATGAAAGCTTTTTGACATATGGTCAGGGGAGAAGTGTTTACGAGGTGTTTACGAGGTTTCATGATGATCAACAGGCAAAAAATGATCAAAGTCCCAAAACTTCATAAAAAATTGTCAAATCAAAATAGTGGTATAGTCATCTACACATAATGACAAACATTCCTACCAAACTTGTATGAAAGCTCAGAGAAGAAGTGTTCATAATTTCATAGTACCGGTATTAGGAATGGAAAGAAAGGTGAAGTACATGTAGGAGACAATAAATATTAGGAACTGTTTCTATGGATGTTCTCTTCTCAATTTTATTTACATGTATCTTAGTCCGTTTATTTTTACCTTGAGAATATCCTGCCCAGTAAGCTGCTGTTGATGCTACCATAATACAAATTATTTCTACAATCATAATTATAAGACCATCTGTCTTTTCTAACTTATGTTGTCTGACTGTAACTTCTGGTATTCTCTGTAACTGTGTGGCCTCTTCTTCATCTGAAAATATTTAACAAATAAGACATGGTTTAATAACAAAATCTTAATGAATTGAATAATCCAAACACACAAAGATATCTAACATCACAAAATGAGTTTGTCATTTAACAGTAATATTAATGCAAAGTAGTTTTTATTCTTACTTTGAAAAACTGTTTCTTGTATTAATTCATCACCATTTTCCACATCGTGTCCATGCCTATGTAATAGACCATCAGTATCCCTCTCTAACAAGGTAAATGTATCATCTTCATTTTCACTGGCTGTCTGATCACTTTGGAGATCACCCTGGTTTTCAGCCTCTATCTCATTTCTTGACTCATTTTCATTCTCATCATGATCCATAAATGAAAAATTTGAACTTTGTGAACTATTTGTCTCTTGACTTCTGTCACTACCTGTATCAGTTTCTCCAGCATCTTCCTCAGTATGTTTTTCCCTGTTTTCTCCTCTTGCCAGATTTTCTTTTTCTTTAACTTTTGAGTCTGAGCAACTTTCTCCTGAGTCTGATATATGAGCCACCAAATGTAACACTTCAGGAATACTCTCATCTGAGAAACTATGACCTGAGCTACTGGGAAATGATATGTCATCTTTGATATCAGAATTGACAGATGAAGCAGCTTCATTAATTTCTACCTCACTTCCAGAATTAGAACAAACTCTTTCGATTTCAGAAGTGATTGGTTTTATTTCATCAGCTATACATTTTTTGCTTTCTGTAATATTCAAAAGTTCCTGGCTTCCTTCTACGGCATCGGTAGTTGAAGCCATCTCTTCTTGTATTGCTGGATGTGGTACAGTAGAACCTTTCCCCTGTTTATCAACATTTTTAACAGAATCTTCCCTATCATCAGAGTCAGATTCTGTCAGCAGCTCTGGAATATATACCAATACAATACATTATTTGTTGAAATTGTTCAGCTTTATCAAAAGTAATTAACTGAAGTGTAAGTAATAAGGAATACTCATCCATTTGATGAGAGAACTGAGAAAAAAATCTGCGTCAAAATAAGTACTAGTGAAAATTCTTTTCATTACTGAAAAATGAATAAAATTGTGTGCATCATACCCAAAATTCAATGCACTTAACTGACTTCAAAAAAATATAGAAATATTTTCAGGTTTTTCACATAAAATCATTTTATACATGTGTACAAAAAATCCCCTAGTGTGTAATACTCTAAATTAGTCAGCATCGATCTAAAAATGATAACTTTCGAAAATAAATAATTTGTACATGATTCTACAAACTAGTGATGAGACCCTCAGCCGCAGCGCGATGCCTCTTAGCAGTAAAGTCATTTTATTTGTCCTGTATCACTGTGTATCATATACATGTATGTACTTTTATTTCTGTTGTTTTGATTTTCACTAAATTTGTGTTTTATCTGCATGTAAACCTCTTTATTTAGCATCATCCGTATTTATAATTGTACATGTATGTTTAAGGTTATGGTTATTATAGTGATTGGTTTTTGGTGGACAGCTTGTCAAAGGGTAATTGCACCCTGGTAACTTAATTTTGGAATAATCCATTGTATTTTTTTAAATTATAGTATGTTCAGTTGATTTAGTTCATCATGTAAGTGAGAGAGGAGATATGTTCTTTTTGATTAATGTTTGTACTAGTGATTCTACAATGAATCATAATATGCTTTCTATGAGAAAGAAAAAAAGATAGAAAACACGCCTTTTCTGCTGTGTATTCTATAGAGCATACAACTGAGGTTAATATATATATATATAATTCGTCTCAAATTTAGCCCAACAATGTTAGATCTTCAAATTTGAGTTAGCAAATTTTTGTTTTTCCATCAGCGGGATTCGAACCCTTGCTTCTGTGACATCGTGGCAACACCGCCAGCACCATGTCCAGCGCCCTAGACCACTCGACCACCTAGGCTACATAAAAATATAGCTTTCGGTGGTCGATGTAATGCAAATCCTCATAGGCTTTATCTAGGGTTGTAACACAGTACATGATGTATAGTGGCAAGTAGAAGGTATACCTTTCAGATCAGCTATTTTTGTCAGTCATAAGGATGATAATGTTAATTACCATGCCGCCACATCAAATTTACATATATATATATATAAGTCTTGTCCTAAGATGTATGAATTTATTGTTAACCCAGCCAGTGGACCGTGGGAATTGTGTATACAGATTTTCCCATGGTAGTTACCATCTTAAGGGTATGTTTACCTGTCATAACTTCAAATTAACTAAATTATTAAAACAACACAAGTGATCAGTACTAAAAACGATTTAAGAATAAAGGATCAAACTTTAACATATAATGTTCCAAGCCAAGCAAAATTAAGGGGACACCTTTATTAAGTAACTTATATTACATACCTCTATCTTACAGATGACTATTTTTATGATTGAATGATCATTGTTTTATTGCAAAGTGTACAGATAACCTGATCAGTTTTATATTATAAGGCTAATGAAGAATTTTGAAATTTTAATGTTTATTAACATATTTACAACCAGCTTCTTAACATCTGAACAACATTTAAATCACTAAAAGCTACAACCATGTTAAGTTTGAATAACATACATTCAATTCATACATGAAGGCCTTTATTGATTTTCTAAATAAATGTATACATGGTATATGAGAGTTAAATATATATATACTAATTCATCAACATTAGAAAATGAATAGTTAATTCTTTCAAATAGTCAATATGTGAAGTAAAAAGTACAAATTCAGTATATTAGTCATATTTATTAGTACACAATGTACATGTATCTGTTAGTACAAATGTATTAACATTTTTGTTTAAGTTACAATACAACTGGTGTGGATTTTGTAAATACTTTTCGCCATGCTACTTGTATGGATTATAAGTTGTCTCATTGGCACTCATACCACATCTTCTTATTTATATATAGTCCACAGTCAATGGGAGACTGGGCAAACTTTTAAAAAGTTCTCTGTGCCCAACTTTTAGATTGAACATGCATATGCCAATTCTTTTCTTTGCTCATAAGAATTGAGCATACTTTACATAGGAAAAGTTATTACAAAAGCCTTTGAATTCAACATTTTCTAATAAATCAATGGTTAAATTTGAGTTGACATGCATGGGCTGGCCCCATGGTGGGCAGGTGGAAATGACTAAATATATATGAAGGCTTGGGTGGGGTTTACACAATAGAGAATAATGAACAAAAAATAGATAATAAAGGGATAAGGGAATGACCATAAAATTTCAAACAGGGGGGGGGGGGGGGGGGGTTTGGGGGGGGGGGGTTGGATATTTAACAAAGGGATATGGGAACAACCATTTAACTTCAAGGGGGGTATGGTTTTTTCCTAAAAATATTATGATCCCCAATTTGATGAAAAAAAATATTGTGGTCAAGCAGATGATAAAAAAAATATTCTGAATCCAGATTTTCCCCATACCTTATTATAGTGTTAAATTTTGAAAAAAATAATTTGATTGATAGCATTGAAAAACTAAAAAAAAATGTTTGTGCTTTGCGCGAAAAAAAATTCTGACTCAGACAAAAAACCATAACCCCCCCTTGAAGTTAAATGGTTGCTCCCTAAGATGACCTTCAATATTCATGGGTAACTTACCTTTTGACCTTAACCTGAGAACAAAGAATGGACGAGATGGATCTCTTCCTGTATTAGAACTTCTTTGTGAAGAACTATCACCTTCATCTTCTGAAGTTAATAATTCTATAGAACTTTCTGAACAAGAAGCATCATCTTCACTCTGTAAACAGAAATCAGACCAATTTTTGGAATTTATAAACATGATGTTGATTGACAGATACATGTACATGTATCTTAATAAACTTAAATTTTCATCAAATTAGTTGAAACATACATTTTGTACATGTTAATTATAAGGTAATTGACAACTGATGCAAAAGTAAATCAACATGAATATGTATGGTCCAGTCACATTTTTACAATTTATTTTGAAAACAATCCTTTGTCGCTAAAAGGATAATGACAGCCTTTTTCCATGGTACATTTTTGTATCAGCTACTTATCAAATAGAATTAACACTATTTACAAATCTCGAAACACTTTAAAGTTCAATGTGGTATGTTCATGATTTCATGATAATATTACCTCTATTTCTCCTTCATTTGTAACTAATGCCCAGTCACTACTGTTGCTTGATTCCTCTGTTGTCATACTGATTCCCTGTTTCACAATTAACAAAAATCCAAAACAGTCTTCCCTGCAAGACATACATGTAGTAATAACATCAAATCTTAACCATATTAACATATACATGATATATATAAACAGGTATATAAAAGTAATATGCTTGACCTACAAAAATGTACCTTTGTTATTCTAAGACAACATATAATAATCTGGAGAAATGAATGACAGCTTAATGAAAATTGTTTAATCACAATTCTATTTCAGTGAACAGGTAGAGAATGACCTATATTTTTGTACATGTATATATGACATTTATAACTTTAATTCAAATGAAAATATACTTTAATATCCTTCATGTACATGTACTAACATTTGTCTACTGTTGATGTCATTACAATGTACAGTGTACAACAACACTAATTAGCTTACATTTACTGTGTGTACATGTGCATGCATAAAACATTGAACTGACCTATAATCAAAACCTTATTCACTTATATATATATAAATTTATTATTCATTGATATTTAAGAAAGAGTATTTAATATAATTCGTCTAAATAACAGCCCAACAATGTTAGATCTGTAAATTTGTGGAAGCAAATTTTTGTTCTTCCCTGGCCAGGATTCGAACTCTTGCTACTGAGATATCATGGCACCAAATCGCCTTGCACTATGCCCGACGGGCTAGACCACTCGACCACCTAGGCTCGACAAAAATCAAGCTTTCAGTGGCCGGGTGTTACCTTTCCTCATCAGTTTTTATCTAGCATCGTAACACAGTACATGATATAACAAAAGCATTAATATATATATACCAAGAAATTTGTTTTGCATGCACACCTATAAAAATTGCGGTTATTATCCAACGCAATCATAGGTTTGAACGTTGTTTTCAATTTAGACTTGTTTATATTTTTTCATTTGGGCTTGTACATTGTATTATATTTGCCTTTGGGTTTATATGATCTGTTCATCCTATTTTGACTCTTCAAAATTCAAGAGTCTATCCTAAATTGAGGTAAATTATATGGCCTTCCAAATACCGTTTCGATTCCTAACATCACTGAAGAGACATTAATTGTCGATATCCGGATATGGTGTACTTATTTTTGCACCTTTTGTTTGCGGTATACCATCTTTTCCGCAAGGTTATTGCTTTCTGTTTGGTATTAAATTAATAGTTAAGATCCGTTTTGTCACATTTGGTGATGCGTTTATTTGGCAATCGCCAATGGCAGTCAGCAGGGTTTAAGAACATTCGTTGTATATATATATTTTTATATACAAAACTAAATTAAAAACAACGTTCAAACCTATGATTGCGTAGGATAAAAACGGCAATTTTAATACGTGTGCATGCAAAACAAATTTCTTGGTAGAGGGGTCTAAATACAGCACAAACAACATTTTCCAAAAGACCAAAAAAGTGAGAAAGTATATTTTAACAAAACGCATTTGACTAGCAGGTCAAACAACGGATGTTCTTAAACCCTGCTGACTGCCATATATATATATATATATATATATATATATATGCATTTTAGATACATGTAAAGGTGTCCTAATTTTCTTAATTTCCTTAGTGACTTAACATCAAATGCCTAATAACACATCTTCACTGACAAAATAACATTTTCCTGCTGAGATCTTATACAGTTTCTTTGCATACACCAATACGCCAGAAATTGAGGTGATCTGAGGTAAATATTAATTCTTTTTTTTAAATTAATATGTCAATTATCTAAATCATTAAGTGTCTGCAGGTTAGCACCACTCTGACTCGTGGGAGAAATCCCTACAAATTAGGCAAGTTGACAGGTCTGATGTTGTACAATATGAGAGTTTTATCTTACAATGTAGCTAGAAGCCATAGTACTAGCATAGTTTAGCTTTTAACATTGTTGATGGTAATTGATTGTTGGTGTTTAACACTACCTTCAGCACTCTTGGCCAGGATGCCTAGAGAGAACCACCTAGTCAATTCAGATAGTCAAACACACGTGCCAGGTGACAGTTTCAAACCAACAACCTCAGTGTTGACAGACTAGTGATACTGACTAAATCAACCACTCGTCCACAGAGGCCCCTCTTCAAACATCATGTTTAACTTTAAAGAGAGATAAATTTCCTTTGTTGTGTTCAAGCCCTTTCCTTTTTGAATAGGTAAAAAAAAAATACTGCTGTTAAAATGCATACATTGTACTATCAGGACTATTGATGTTTTCATTATTCATATAAGATTAATAGGCCAGGACTTATATATAAGAACCATTATTACTGTATTACAATACATGTACAGTTTCTATCATTACGTACACATTCCATGAATATTTTATTTTTTATAGATCTTTAATAGATGGCATATAATTTCTGAAGATACATGTACATTGATTAGAGCTAAAATTATGGTAAAAAGAGAGAAGAGAAAGTATATAATGTAATGATTTGGGAGCCATACATGTATGTATGATGTGTTTTTTTTAATTTTAATAACAAACAAGAGTGCACACGCTGATATGTCTCGCCTACTATACTGACCATTGATTTTATGTTGATAGTCCTACATATAAAGTTTTACTACAAGTATCACATTAACATTTATGATCCAAGAAAATGAGGTCAAGGTCAGATAATCCAAGCCAGAAATACATGTACACCTTTAATACAATCATTCCATACACAGAATATAGATGACCCATTGCTTATAGTATTAAAGAAACAGACCAAACCATGGAAATTCTATATTGACCAATGAACCATGAAAATGAAGTCAAGGTCAGATGAACCCTGCCAGACAGACATGTACACCTTAAAATCATTCCAAGCATCAAATATAGTTGACCTATTGCTTATAGTATCTAAGAAACAAAGTTAACCAGGAAAACTGAACATTGACCAATTCAATGAACCATGAAAATGAGGTGAAGGTCAGATGATACCTGCCAGACAGACATACATGTACATGTATACACCTTACAATCATACACCAAATATAGTTGACCTATTGCTTAAAGTTTAAGAAAAACAGACCAAAACACACAAAAACAAAACATAAGCAATGAACCATGAAAACTATGCTGTTGTGAATTGACCCACCCAAAAAAAAAAACAAAAAAAAATTGACCCCCCTTTTTTTTTGTTTTTGTGCAATACACTATGCTGTTGCGAATTGACCCCCCCCACAGAATTTCTTTTTTACCCCCCCCCCCCCCAATTTTTTTTTCTCACCTCCCCCCCCCCCCCCCCCTTTTCCAAACAAAAAAAAATCTTTCCCAAGATATGGTCATAATCTCAATTCAAATTTCCAATGTAGTTTGCAACCATAATTACCCATTTAAATACATCATAAAAGTCTTAAAATAGAAAATGACATACATAATCATGGCTAAAATTAATATTCCTTAATCAGCATTTTTAAATAGTAACTTCTAAAAGTAAATTGACAGCTAATCACCTCAAGACAATACAACATTTCTTTATACATAATTTAAAAGCAGTGTAAGGGAAGTAATCCAAATATAACATTGTACTTTTTTTTAATTGTCCATTAACCAGGAAACCCTTGTTTTTCCCCCTTTTTTGCCCCTACTTCCTAAACGATTTGAGCCATAACCCCCCAAAGCCAATCCTAACCATCCCTTTGTGGTATGGAAACTTGTGGTATAATTTCAGAGAGATCCATACACCGTTCCACAAGTTATAGTCTGGAAACTAGAAAAATGCTAATTTGGGCCCCTAATTCCTAAACTGTTAGGACTATAACCCCCAAAATCAATCCCAACCTTCCTTTTGTGGTTATAAACCTTGTGTTTTAATTTCATAGATTTCTATTTACATTTACTAAAGTTATTTATAAATTAGTAAACCAAATGTCTTCGGACGACGCTGACGATGACGACGTGATACCAATATACGACCGCAAAATTTTTTGCGGGGTTGTATAAATAGTACACAAGCATGCACATTTTTAGATGTATAACTGAAATTATTTTGCAAAGTAAGTATTTTATATATATCAAACTAACATTTATTTTAACATAAGCTAGTTTCAAATTTGCATAGATACTTTATAAATGATTAATTATAGATTAAAGAATTGTCTAATGTATGTTCCATTGTACTACATTAAACTGTATAAATATAAGTAATGTACTGACAATTACTTATTTATGTAATATGTTCAAAATTGGATGTACTAATAGTAATCATAAATACTAGATTGACGAATCATTTTGCGACAGCGTTTTGGAGGTACAGGAGTACAATGTAACTGGAATATTAATTTGTGTTTATTTGTTATTATCAGTCAAATAAAACACTTTAATGATATCTGTTGATAACCTCCCCTTCATGAGACAAAATTTCATGACAATCTGTCTATGAAATATTGTCTCAATACACACAAAATATAATATAACCTCCATTTAACAGGACAAAATTTCATAGTATTCATCTGTGAAATATTGTCTATATACAGACAAAATTTCACTATGGAAATTTGTCCTAGACTCTGGACATTTTTTCATAGATGAGGACAATATTTCACGATACATAGTCATGAAATATTGTCTTGGAGGACAATATTTTATAGGACAATATTTTGCTTTACACAAAATCCAGTTGTTTTTACTTTTCTGAAACAAAATGTATTTGAATATTTATCTAGAGCATGCTATGCCTTCAAATTTTTCCACATACTCAGGTTTGTCTGTACTCAAGAGTAAATTTTGAGGTGAAAATGCAGCCATTTTAGCCAAAGGGTCCACATGAACCTTAAAAAAGAGAAAAGAGAAAATACTACATGTACATGTATTTAAACAAGGAATTACTTGCATGAATCTGGAATAATTTTGAATTTGGAAAATTGATAAGAAAGGTACATGTATGATGAAAACTTACCTAATTTAGGAGGATTATCAATGCATGCATGGCTAAGGGGGGTTAGTTAGTTTATACTGAACTATCAGTGACATAATGTGAACCTTAGCATAGACATTTATGTTAAAGATTTACAAAATGTAATAATATACCATATTCAATGTTCTAAATACTTTTTGTAAGTCTGAAAAAGATCTGTTTCAAACAACCGGTTTGACATGTGAAACTGATATGATGCCTGACTTTTTTTAAATTCCCTATCAAAACAATGAATGCATAAATAAGAACAATATAAAAAAAATGTGGCCGCATCGACTTTGGCCGAAACGACCTGTGGCCGAAACGTTTCCAAAGCAAAAGGTCTAAATGAAGTTCATTTTTTCAATTCAAGGCTTTATATAGAGTCGGTACGTATATTAATCATCATTACAAACATAAGCTCGTGAGAGCTTTTAAAACCGACATTAATTTTTTTTTTAACTTTTTCTTGGTAAAAAAAAGCTTCAAGAATGCATGATCATTTCTGAGATTCCTTATGCCATTCCCCAAAAAAGTTGTTTGTACACATACTTACAAACTCCCAACTTAAAAGGCACTGTCTCTAATTAGAATGTCTCATTCAAAATTACCTGTCTCTAAACATATAAGAATGTATGCAATAACTTCCATTTCGCGAACCAAAACATCAACAAAGTCACGTGATTAACTTTGTTTTGATGATTCAAAACATTAGTTTCGTAACATAGTTATGGAAGTTGATCCATCAAAGCTTAACTTTTAGTGACTTTAGATATTCACATTGAAGCTAATTAATCTTTTGTAGTAATATTCGTTTTAATAATTTAATAATTCTATCAAATAATATCGTCCGAAAACATTTTCGCTGCTAAAAGAGCCAATCAGATTTCGACCTGTCTCCAAACAGTGTCATTGCGGGAGATTTCCAAAAATAGACTTGACTAATGATTATTCCGAATTTTGGTTACGATACAAATTTTCATTGGTGTACATAGTTACATGAGTAAGTGACCGATAATTGTTTTCAAAACGAGACGAATATCAAATCTTTCCAGGTCACAACATACAAAAATTAGGATCTTTCCTTTTTTAGCTCACCTGGCCCGAAGGGCCAAGTGAGCTTTTCTCATCACTTGTCGTCCGTCGTCCGTCGTCGTCGTCGTCGTCGTCCGTCGTCGTTAGCTTTTTACAAAAATCTTCTCCTCTGAAACCACTGGGCCAAATTTAACAAAACTTGGCCACAATCATCATTAGGGTATCTAGTTTAAAAAATGTGTCCGATGACCCCGCCAACCAACCAAGATGGCCGCCATGGCTAAAAATAGAACATAGGGGTAAAATGTAGATTTTGGCTTATATCTCTGAAACCAAAGCATTAAGAGTAAATCTGACATAGGGTAAAACTGATTATCAGGTCAAGATCTATCTTCCCTGAAATTTTCAGACAAATCTGACAACCTGTTGTTGGGTAGCTGCCCCTGAATTAGTAATTTTAAGGAAATTTTGCAGTTTTTGGTTATTATCTTGAATATTATTATAGATAGAGATAAACTGTAAACAGCAATAACGTTCAGCAAAGTAAGATCTACAAATAAGTTGTCATGACTAAAATTGTCAGTCGACCCCTTTAGGAGTAATTGCCCTTAATAGTAAATTTTTAACAATTTTTTGTAAATTTTTGTAATCTTTTACACAAAAATCTTCTTCTCTGAAACTACTGAGACAAATTTAACCATACTTGGCCATAATCATTATTAGGGTATCTAGTTTAAAAAATTTGTCCGATGACTCCGCCTTCCAACCATCATGGCCGACTTGGTTAAAAATAGAACATAGGGGTAAAATGCAGTTTTTGGTTTATATCTCTGAAACTAAAGCATTTAGAGCAAATCTGACAGGTGGCAAAAAAGTTCATCAGATTTAGATTTATCTGCCATGAAATTTTCAGACGAATCCAACAACCCGTTGTTGGGTTGCTGCCCCTGAGTTAGTAATTTTGCAAAATTTTTGCAGTTTTTTGTTATTATCTTAGGTATCATTATAATATCTAATATCTAATACTATTAATTATGATTTTAACCTTATTTTACATGATTTCCAAAGCATCAGTAAATACAGGTGAGCGACACAGGCTCTTGAGAGCCTCTAGTTTTTTTTAAAATAAAAATAATTTAATTTTGGTTGTAACACGTCTTCTGATTGGCTGAAAGTGTTTTGTCTACGTCTTCTGATTGGCTGAAAGTGTTTTGTCTATCAGCTCATAGACATAAGGACAATCCTTATTCTATACACAAAAAGAGCAGCAGCAGCAGTATTTGTAGTCAAGAAAAGCCTCATTCCAGAGAGACACAAAATCATATAACTACCTGCCTAAAAGAAAAGCAAGGCAATACCTCATCTGATGTATGTACAACTGTAAATAAAAAGAGCAATGTAAATAACGTGCACCATGTTTAAGATTTTAATACAAAATCAGTAATCGATAACAGTCATAATTGTGATTCAACAAAAGAGAAGGATACATGTATCTTGAGAGTTTTAGATTTTAATTGTAAAAATATACTATGATCCCATTCCACCAAGTCATATGCCTCGAGGTTACGGAGGAGTGGCTATTCTTTGGAAATGTGAGTTTGACAATATAATGACTCCGCTGCAACTAGGAAATGAGAGAATTCAATGTATTGAAATTATGGGAAATCCCAATACTATATTTATATCTGTCTACCTGCCATGTAGGGGCTCTAATAACCACTTTACTGAACTCAATGAATGTCTGGACCACCTTCATGAAATTTTTGAAACCTTTAAAAACTCTCATCAATTGATAATAGGTGGAGACCTCAATGAAAACATATACAGTTCAACAAATTCTCAACGAAAAACAGCCATATCTAATTTTATGTCAGAACATAAACTTTCAACAGTTGAATGTGGAATTACTTTCATACACCCAAGTGGCCAAGCCATGTCTGCAATAGACTACATTCTATTTCAAGACCGTTATAAGGGAAATGTTGTCAAGATTGAAAAACAGGAAATAAATAGCAACGTCTCTGATCATATTCCACTGATGTTGTCATTGAAATGTGATATATCCTATAAGAAGATGAAAGAACAAAGTTAACTGGAATAAGGTGGACAAGAATGAATATAAAACTTTGCTTAATGAGAAATTAGAGAAAATTAAACCAATATCAGAAAAATTGAATTTAGATCAAGCTTTTGAGGAACTGACCAAAATTATATCAGATACAACCTTAAAAATTGCTCCAAGAAAACGAAAGGGCAAGAAAAAGAAGAAACTAACATTAATGAATGAGGAAATTTTACAAGCTGTGAAAAGGAAGAAAACTGCCTTTTTTGTATGGAAACAACATGGTCGACCAAAGGAACCTGGTAACTTCTATCTTAAGGAAAAAACAATCACCACATATGATCTCAGGAAACTATGTAGAAAAGAGCAAGCGCTAGAAAGGATTAATGCTCGACAACAAATTTTGGATGCTAAATCCAGTGATACTGCCTTATTTTATAAATTAATTAGAAAACAGAGGGGGGAAAATGGGTAGATTTATTGAAGAACTTATAGTAGAAAATGAAACATATCAAACATCTGACCGTGTATTGGAAGGATGGACAAAACATTTTGGAGATCTTGCCAAAAAATCTAACTATCAGAACATTGATCAGAATCATTTAGAAGCAGTAGAAGATGAAACAAAACTAATATTAAAGATATGTAAGGAAAATTATTCACATGAAAAAGTCTCAATCTAAGAATTAAAAAATGCTGTCAAAAAATTAAAAACAAATAAAGCTATGGACTATTATGGAATCACTGCTGAAAATTTCATTCATGTCAGCGAAATACTTCTTGAGTATCTTAAACTTCTAATTAACACAAGTTTTGAACACTGCTATATACCAAACTTACTCAAAATTGGAACTCTTTTTCCTGTATTCAAAAACAAAGGTGACATAAAGAATGCTAAAAATTACCGTGGGATTACTGTAACACCAACTTACTCGAAGATCATAGAGATTATAATCAAAGGAAGAGAAAACAATAAGATCTTGAAACATCAAAACCCACTGCAAAAAGGCTTCACAGCAAAATCTAATCCACTGCTATGTGAACTGTTCGTTGAAGAATTTGAAAGAGAAAATAAAGATCTCAAGTTACCAACCTATGTTGCATTATTGGATGGAAAATCTGCTTTTGATGTTGTAGTTCATAAAAACTTAATACGACGTCTTTTTCAAATTGGTTTCTCACAGCAATCTATTCTACTGATCAGCAATTTATATGAAAATGCAACATCCTGTGTAAAATGGGGCAATACATTGTCAAATTGCTTATTTAGTATTGAACAAGGTGTAAGACAATGTGGAGCCATTAGCGCTGACCTCTACAAAGTTTATATCAACCCTCTTCTACAAATTCTGAGCAACTCAGGACTAGGAGCCAAAATTGGGAATATAAACTGTTGTGCGCCGACCTGTGCAGACGATGTTGCCTTGATATCCAACAATCCCTTTGAACTCCAAAATATGATAAATATAGCAGTAGATTTCAGCCAAAGAGAAGGATATCTACTACAGCCTCAAGAAAGTGTAGTCTTGCCAATCAAAACATGTAACAAAATGCTAGATATTGATCAAGGTTTTTGGAAACTTAAAAATATAGATATGCCCATTGTTCAAGACTCTTCTCATATTGCAATAAAAAAATCATAAAAAGACTCTACTAATGCAACCATCACTGAAAATATAAAAAAAGCCAGAAGATCCATGTACAGTCTTATGGGTGCATGATTACATGGGGAAAATGGATTAGACCCTGAAACACTAATTTCCTTATTTAGAACATATATCTTACCAGTTTTGACCTACGGCCTAGAAGTCTTGATACCATCAGGTAAAAACTTAGATATTATACAACAACAACATAAAAGGTGGATTAAACAGATTTTATCTCTCAAACTAAATGTGGCTGACCCGGCTGTCTATTTATTATCAGGTTTGCTCCCGCTTGAAGCAGAGATCCATATTAAAATTATAACACTATTTGGGAATATAACCAGAGCTGAAAGATCGTCCTTAGAGTGGAGAATAGCGGAACGTCAACTTCAAATTAAAACCTACTCAAGCAATAGCTGGTTTATTGATCTGAAAAAGATATGTGGCAAATATGACATCGTAGAGTTAGAACAGTATCTGGAAAAGCCATTAACAAAAATTGAATGGAAGAGGTTTACAACCAAAAAGATTCACAAGTACTGGGAGGGTGCCATAAAGACCAAAATGAAGGGGTACTCAACCTTAAGATATCTTAAATGTGAATATGATATTGGCAGACTCCATCCTTTACTTAAAACAATAAGTGCAAATATAAATGAGATAAAGAAACTGTCTATTTGCTCCAAATTAGTCACAGGAACCTACATACTGCAATCTAATAAAGCGGAATATTCAAATTATGCAACAAATCCGATGTGTAGACTCTGTAATAAAGCTGATGAAACCATTGAACATTTTATCTTACTGTGTGAAACAACATCACAAATAAGAACATCTCTTATCGGCAAAATACTACACGAAGGTAGTCTGGTTTTAGCAAGAGAAAGCCTGCAAACT